CCAGCGCACGGCTGGAGTGGAGTCCTTCAGAGACTCACAATACCAAATTCAATCTAAAAGTTCATCATGCATCACAATAACAGTGATCGGAAATTTCCAGGCACGACTGCAGTCCTCATAAGCAAAACTTTCTTCCCAAGCATTGCTGCAGCAGAACAGCATGGCTATCAAAAGAGTTCAATAAGAGCAAACGCTTCACCGAACGCCATCTGGCGACTATACGCATTCATACAAAGGCGAAACTTTCTTCGCTCAGATGCCGGGATTCGGTCTCGTCATTTGTTGACACATGGGCGAAGACGTAAACATTTGAGCAAACATTGACATCGGACCGTAGCTTCAGGTATGCTGTTAGTCTGATATAATAAAGTGTGTGCTCACTATCATATGATTCAATCTAAAAATCCATCATGCATTCAATGCAATACATTTGTTTTTAAATTATCGATTTTATCTAAGACTATTAGCTTACGTTACTTTCACCGTTTCAACTGCATGCTTTCCTTCTCGCTTCTGCTCTCTGACGAGTTTTTTGTCTCTTTCCCTGTAGGTACAAACCCTCTCCACTCGCATGTTGTCGGTCGCCAGTTTTGCACTTAAATAATTTCCGTACAAAAAGATGACATATAAATATCAGAGCTATTGCTTCAGGCCCTGCATAAACCATAGGTTTATCGCCCTGAAACTCATTCAACCGCGAAAGCCATCAAAGATCCAAACGGCAACTTGGTGCATAATTAAGACATTAGAGGGCCATATTGTAGTGACGCAGTATGCGAAGTGTTTTTTGTAAAGCGGCATGAGTGTCAGTAACAGGCTAACAGCAGACGTGTTTAAGAAACCTGCTTCTGGGCTTGTAAAGCAACAGCAGACGTGTTTATTAAAGGTAATTTGAACTTTTTTCACTTCGCTCCATACATATGCACACGTTTATAAATTAATCGAGTTTGAACGTAGACGAGCAAAAATAAGTTTCGAACCTTTTTTACAATTATACTCGCACTTAGAGACGATCATTGCAAAAATTATCTGGCGCGGCGACTTTCCTACTATATAAACTTGTATTTTGGGTCCAAAAAATTTTGTTCAAAGATCACAATAACAGATGATGTTTCTTGGTAACTTCTTTCTCTCGATTGTCATTTGTTATAAGTAGACTTATTACCGGCGCTTCTCTATGAATTTTCAATTTACCGTCGCGACCCTTCGAGTGAATTGCTCCTTCCGAGAATGAAATGCGCTTGTTGCGATATCACTCATAAATTTTTGCAGCTTCGACTGTATTTCACTCGGAAATGATCACCTGCATGACACGCATTAGTTACAATTGGCGGCACTTTGTAAAAACGACGCTTTTTATGAGAGGTGAACCAGTTAATTAATAACCGGCTCAGTTAATTGAATAAAATTGATTGAGTCACAGCTTTGGTATATATGGGATTATCAACGGGATTCTCGAGAATAGGATCCACGTAGTTCTCAAATCTCAAATTAAATATCAGAGATTATTCATTTCACGCATGCTCCATAAAAACCGCATGAATATGCCACATACGGTCAAGCAATGAGCTCCGTCCTCACCACTATATTGTATAGCCTCAATAGGCTAATGAATCAACATTCATAAATATCTTCATCCCGCACGTTTTTCAGAGCTCCGTTTTATGTCATTCGTATCGTTGTGACTTCCGCATCCGCTGACCATCGGCGCTAATCCAGTTTCTCTGTGCGTGACTGGCTCAGTTAATTGAATAAAATTGATTGCGTCACAGCTTTAGTATGGAATTATCAATGGGATTCTCGTTAATAAAATCCACGTAGTTCTAAAATCTCAAATTAAATCTCAGAGATTATCCATTCCAGGCAATGCTGGTCTAAGCTATAAGTCAAATAACATGTAAGTAAATAGTTAGCTCACATATAGGTAGGTTAATATATATTTCGCATATGGGTACGTAAGTAGTTAGTTCGCCTATAGGTAGGTTAATAGTTAGTTCACCTATCGGTAGGTTAATAGTTAGTTCGCCTATAGGTGGCCGGTAGGTTAATAGTTAGTTCGCCTAGAGGTACGTAAATAGTTTGTTTACATATAGGTAGGTTAATAGTTAGTTCACCTATAGGTATCAGCAAGTATACCTGCTCTGACCATGCTTGTCTCTGCGTGTCAGCTGACAGCAAGTATACCTGCTCTGACCATGCTTGTCTCTGCGTGTCAGCTGGCAGCAAGTATACCTGCTCTGACCATGCTTGTCTCTGCGCGTATACATTGTTAATATCGTTAATATTATATTGTATATTAGAATATAAAATAATATTATAATATATTGGCTAACACACGTACGCACAGGATGGTAAGCGGGACATGCTAATTCCAGCTGAATTTGATTAACGACTTTTATTTAACCACAGTTCATTACAAAGTTGTCTGTCTCAATATAATTCGTATTCCAGTGTATTATACATAAGTATTAAGAAAATAAAGTTCGCACTTGATTTTAGAAATTGGCCTCTAAAATATTATTAAGTCTAACAGTTGTATAGAGTTCAATAAAACTGTTAGTATAGTGTTTTAACAGGAAATATTCGGTTGAAAATCAAAGATTAAAAAAATTTCATGATTGACATGTAGTGAGAACTTTTTGCAGAACTTCCCAATCCTCAAAAAAGTGTGAGTAGCCGGAAAAGAAGTAAAGCTGTCAAGAGAAATAATTCAATTTCAGAAAAAAATGTGAGTTATATCAAAGTTTGTTTATAGCAAACGTTTTCCGACACAGAAAGGCACTGCACAACCGAGCGGCACGCAAGTTGCGGCTGGAATGAAAGCCATGACATTATATACTGCTGCACCGGGCAGTCACTGCTACTGTAGTCGTGCACTCACTGCTGCTACTGTAGCGGTGCACTCACTGCTGCTACTGTAGCTGTGCACTCACTGCTGCTATTGTAGCGGTGCACTCACTGCTGCTACAGTAGCGGTGTACTCACTGTTGCTACTGTAGCTGTGCACTCACTGCTGCTATTGTAGCGGTGCACTCACTGCTGCTACAGTAGCGGTGTACTCACTGTTGCTACTGTAGCGGTGCTCTCACTGCTGCCACTGTGGCCGGGTTCTCACTGCTGCTACTGTAGCCGTGCTCTCACTGCTGCTACTGTAGCGGTGCTCTCACTGCTGCTACTGTAGCTGTGTACTCACTGCTGCTACTGTAGCGGTGTACTCACTGCTGCTACTGTAGCGGTGTACTCACTGCTGCTACTGTAGCTGTGTACTCACTGCTGCTACTGTAGCGGTGTACTCACTGCTGCTACTGTAGTCGTGCACTCTCTGCTGCTACTGTAGCCTTGCTCTCACTGCTGCTACTGTAGCGGTGCACTCACTACTGCTACTGTAGCCGTGCTCTCACTGCTGCTACTGTAGCGGTGCACTCACTGCTGCTACTGTAGTCGTGCACTCACTGCTGCTACTGTAGCCTTGCCCTCACTGCTGCTACTGTAGCCGTGCACTCACTGCTGCTACTGTAGCGGTGCTCTCACTGCTGCTACTGTAGCCGTGCTCTCACTGCTGCTACTGTAGCGGTGCTCTCACTGCTGCTACTGTAGCGGTGCACTCACTGCTGCTACTGTAGCCGTGCACGCACTGCTGCTACTGTAGCGGTGCTCTCACTGCTGCTACTGTAGCGGTGCACTCACTGCTACTGTTACGTAGTAATATCATTTCAAATAGTACGCACAAGTAAGCCATATTACTGGCCGTATTACTCCTATGAAATGGGCGCAAAATCCGCAAAGCCAAAATTAGTTCACAGATAAATTAGGGTAGATCATAAAAGTTACAAAGTTGATTGTCCTCATACTAGATTAAACTTGCCAGTGTGGCGTTTGTTGCAATCAAATTGCGGATTTATGCATCTTGTGATCTCAATGGCTTTTGGTAAGGCAAGTATGCGCTTTTTGGCCCCTGAATTTTCAATTGATTACGAGGATCAACCAGAACTGTGCAGAGAATCCGACATATTCATCGATGTTACAGAGGGAACACTGATGGATTGCAACCGAATGATGGTAAAGAACATTCATGTAATATTCATTCATATAAAAAGAAGAATTTAATCCTATGGGTTGGCAAGATGCAAAGAGGTCGTATAGTAGAATGCACCCAAAAAATCAATTGTTGTGAGGTTATTTGCTCATGTTGGTCTTGGAGTCAGTCGTGGAGCAAATTACTAAAATTAAACAGTTGATCCTTTTCATTTGATTCAAATGCTGGAATATTCACAACTATATTATTAATCGTAATAGTGTGACAGGCTAAATGAAAAAAATAAAAAATAGACATTTTTTATTTATTTGAAATAAAAAACTCTGTGGTTTATATTTGGTTCTAGGATACCTGTTTCAGCTCATACATGTTTAAGAATGTCTCTAAAGGATTCAGACCTCGTTCAATGTATCTATAATCTACTGTGGCTATTGCTGATAACCACTTGTTATTGTTGATATCCCTGGTCATCTGGTGAAATTTCGTAGGAGTTCCGCCTCCTATAGGCGTTCATTCATACTGTGCGGTCTTCAGGGACAAGACGCTCATGAAGTTGATCGCTCTGGCATTATACCTTATACGAATACGTATTTTTAAAGCTTTACATAAAAAAAAGTGTTCCATTGAATATAATTCTGTGAATCATTTATTATTTTGAAGTATTGGGTATTGTAGGAAATATAAAACGAAGTGACATTCGGAAAGGAGGAGAGTGCATTCAGCCGTTGACGAATTAAGACGTGCTCAAAATCTCTCTGTTTACTTTAACAAGTGTGTGTGTGTGTGTCATGGCTGCACCAGTTCTGTGATTTGCCCTAAACAAGAGAATTGTTGATAACAAGGAGAGCTCATGCCAGCAAAGAAGGAAATGAAATTGAGAGAAACATGATGAAGACTTCAACTAAATAACTATTGCTGAGTCCAGGTGTTACAAGCGGTCAACGTGCGACTTCTTCTTCACCTACAACCCGCGACCACCGAAATTTCGTAGTATGGTAGTCTACACGATGGAGTGTTCGTAGGATAAAGACGTGATCACAAATGCTATTAAGTCTAACTATGTTTCGTCGTAGCTTTATAAATACAACGTCTTTTGCTGTTGAAAGTTGTGCGGTTGTGCCTTAGTTAGAAATTAGAATGACGGAAAATTGATTAGTTGAGTCATACCGCATACGGTCATACTCATACCTAATCTATCATAATCATGGCGTTAATTTGGAAGAAGTTTCGTAAGTATTATTCAGAATTATAGCATGATTTCTAATTAAATATTGTAATTTAGCTATTTATGCAGTTATGCTTTACTTTCATCATGATATATGATAAAATGAACATCATAACTCAATTTTTTATTCCAATATTTTATATTAAAATTATTAGTGAATTCGTATTCTCTCTCTCATCCTAGATTCAAAATAGGAATTTGAACTGAAGCTGCCTGAGAATAGGACCAAAATGCCAGTGAATCAGGCCAATTTTACACCCATGGCTTGTTCCATAAAAAATGAGAAAATAACTTTTCATTTATTACATATATGCTTTTTTAAACACCTTAACATATTGCATCCTAATGCAGAATCTCTATAAAGTATAAGCTAGTGTTATTTTCTATGCCTAGTAATTGACAGCATGGAATATATCTACTTGGCAAGCTGCCACTGAATTTTTTTGAGCCATGGTTTCATGTATTTGCCAGCTGTGATTCCAATTCTTTGAGCTGTGAATTCTATATCTCGCCATATAATCTCGGCCATGAAAAGCCATTAACGAGCCGCAAACATATTTACAAAGTCTGTGCACATGTTACCTCAAATCGCAAATTTTACCATAAAACAGTCAAACAGCAAAACTTACATTTGGCTTCACTTAAGTCAAGTTTAGTGGCAACTGAATACATGATAGTACAGTCTTACTGCTCTGATATGACCGCAACTATGTGAAGGGAAACGTTTTATGTTGACTTGTTTTTATTATGTTTAGCAGGATATTTTGGAAGGAACATTGAAGTAATGCGTATTGCGCCATCATTGCGGAAGAAAATTTTTGGAATCAACATGTTTGCAAAGTTTCAAACCGTGATTTTTTCAATCAAGCAAAAATACATGACATTAGAGCTGCAAGATTTCATACCTACTGAAATTAAATGAAATTAGAGCCAGGATATTTCAGAAAGAAATAGGACTTTTCCTGACCTGGTAATTGAGATAGCTACGCTTAGTTTTCTTCCTAAATGAAACAGAACTACAATCAAATGAATGTTATACTGCACCATAAATCAGTATTTTATCATATACTGATTTTATCATATATAACAAATAGTTACTAATTTTGTTTAATTTTCTAGCAGATTCTTAACAACAAATATTATTTTAACAACAATGCTAAGGCATCCTGCTAATGAATCAGTATAATTTTATGATTATTCTATATTGAACCAACATCATAAAACAAAATTAATGCTAAAAGAACTGCAATGGTTGGGACAATGATATGAATATTTTTATGGGGGAGCAGGCATTACTGTTCAAATTGTCAGTTCACAGTGGCTGATTGAACTTCAAATTAAAAAAAAAACTATAAAAACATGAAACTGAGCACTTATTGAATTTGGCTTTAGCTAAGCATGGTTGTCCAATGTAAATGCATTAAAGTAATTCATGTAGGTTACTTTAATTCAGTGTACTAAGAATTACACAAAAACATTGTTCTAAAGGAAAGTAACATCACTAATAAAATATAATATTCTCAAATAGTTATAGTGATTCCATGGTTATTATTAAATTAACTGTTTTTATGTAGGGCCCAAATGCTTTAATAATGATATAACATTTTCATTTTTTTAATAATGATTTAACACAGCGCCAGTAATTCTTTAGGGCTAATTTAATAATTAATAAAATTAATTACCATCAAACAGAGTAGTAAGCCGTAAGAGATGGGCAGGGTAAATCATAAAATGTTAAAGCAACAGAACTAATTGAAATAATGGAAAACTAAAAATACCATCAAACGGGTAATAAGGGATGGTTTTTAGTATTTTTTGTTAATAACTTCTTTCCATGTAACATTTCTTGGGCTTATTTAATAGTTCTTTGCAAAGGCTATTGTATGGCATTTAAAAAAAATTCCATATGTTATTCACAAGGTGCCAGACACAAAATAAAAGTGTCCTGAATTACCCCTGGGAAGGGGGTAATCCAGGACACTTGAAATAAAACTTAATTTTAAAATGTTTGAAGCATGCATAGTGTCCTCATCTATTACTAACAGTACTCTAAAGTCCTCTCTTCCTTTGTAGATGATGTAGATGTAGAATAAATGGCATTTTCTGTAATTTTTACTTGTTTTCCTTTATTGATGTTAATATCTGATTGGTCTGCTGGTGTTGCCGAATGGTTATGACGTCACACTTGTTTGGTCGTGAGATGGCTTTGTGCTGCGTGCTAATTGGTTCAGGAAGCCCCGGTAGCCTACGTGGCATGGGCTGGCTGTAACGTGACGCAAGTTGGCGGCAATGCTGTTGGGGAAAGGAGTCTTGCATGACCCATGATAGGGTGAGCATCTTGCAAGCATGTGCTATTAACAATTGATGTGATAATGCCATATCCATACATTACCGTATTATTGATGTGATATTACCTTGTCCATGAACATGCCATTGAGCATTTACAATGGCCTTGTCTACTGCAAGTTTCATATCAGCAGCCATATAGCACTTTTCTGCATGTGTAAGCTTACAGGATGGCTTGTAATTTCACACCATTTTATTTGGGTCAAGTGAATTCACTATAACAAAAAAATATCATAAAAACGCCCCTGAAACAGAAAAAAAAATTCTAGTGAAAACCATCATGTTTTTTGGAGAAATAAATCATAGTTATTATTATTGATGTGATCATATTACCTTGTCCATGAACATGCCATTGAGCATTTACAATGGCCTTGTCTACTGCAAGCTTCATATCAGCAGCCATATAGCACTTTTCTGCATCTGTAAGCTTACAGGATGGCTTGTAATTTCACACCATTTTAAATGGGTCAAGTGAATTCACTATAACAAAAAAATATCATAAAAACGCACCTGAAACAAAGAAAAATTCTAGTGAAAACCATCATGTTTTTTGGAGAAATAAATCATAGTTTAGGTTAATTGCTTTTCATAATATGTTGCCCAGTGCACAATTCTATCTGTGACATTCTCTGCACAATTTTGTGATGACTGATGATGCAGTAATTTTTTGTTAAGTGGAATTTTTTCCACTGAGCGAGGTGAATATAATCAAAATTTTTTGTTGGTAATTGATTTTTGATAACTGGAGCCTTTGATAATCGTGGTTCTACTGTAAATGCGTTTCTGAGTGTGTCCCTTATTACCAGGGGGGTGTCCCTTATTAACCTGCCTTGCAGAAATGGCGGCAATTTTTTCGGAATGAGATATGCAAATTCTGTCAATAACATTTTTGTGCCAACACCTGTGTGCAACTTTTATGTAAGTAAAATTTTTTGATATGGCAAAAATTTTTTTTCTACAGACTTTGACATAGGTACATTCCCAAAATAGCACCTTTGACACTTTTTTCAGGGATTTTTTAGAGATAGTAAATGAATGATTTCTTAGCTTGCTTTATGCTATATAGATAGTAAAAATGTTGAACTTTACACCACTATTTTTAGTTTTGCAATATTTTGATTAGTTTAGCTGCTACAACATTTCTACAAAATGTGGGACAACTGTCCCGATTTACCTTGCCAAGTTAATTATTTATTTATTTGTTATTATTGATTTATTACCCCGTTTGATGGTAATGGCATAAACTTCAACATTCTTCCTATCTGTATAGCATGAAGGAAGTTGAGAAATCATACATTTGCTGGCTCTAAAAAATCCATGAAAAAATATTGAAAAGTGGTATTTTGAAAAAGTCATTCTGCTAAGGGCTGTAGTAAAAAAAAATATTTGGCGTATTAAAAAATTTTGCTGGGAAAAAAGTTGCAGACAGGTGTAGGCTTTTAAACTTTACTGACAGAATTTTCATACCTCAATCCAAAACAAAATAGCAGCTATTTCTGCCTGATGGGGTAATAAGGGACACCCCTAAAAATGCATTTACAGTAGAACCTCAGTTAGCAAAGGCCCCAATTAACAAAAAAAAATTGATTTACAACAAAACTTTGATTTACCTTGCACAGTGGAAAAATTGTAGTCGTCAAAAAATTAGTGCATCATCGGTCCTCAGAAATTGTGCATAGAATTTCATAGATACAATTGTGCACTGGCAACATTGCATGAAAAGTAATTTACTTAAACTATGACTCATTTCTCCAAATAATATTATGGTTGTCACTAAAATATTCCTTTTGGTTTCAGGTATGTTATTTTCAGTTTTTTTTTCACTTGAACCAGGTCTTGGTCAAAAATGAAAAATTTTGGCTTTTCCGTTTTATTGGCTCATTTGTAGCTGCTGAAAAGGCGTGTCTAATGCAGCAAACTGCATGTATGTGCGTGCTCTAGTTTTTGAGTAGAGCAATTTAAAAAATGTAAAAATGAACATTTTCAAAAATATGTACAAAGATGTATTCAAATTAAATCTGTGTACATAGATCATTATTCATGCTAATAGCAAAGTGGTTGCACCCATTTGAAAGCTCCAAACAAGAGGCGTTCAGCAAAGCTAATATAATTGATGTACATACAATAATCTTTGCATAAGGCTGTTTTGAACTTTTATGAAATGACCATTTTATAATAAAATTTACAAATTTTCATTTAACTGGTATTTGTAGATCATTATTCTTGTTAATTACAAAGTATTTGCACTTGTTTGAAAGCTACAACCAATGCCTATGTTTGAAAGCTACAACTGATATATCTCCCCTTAAAATGGTTTGAAATTACAAGCCTAGTCCTGTAAGCTTACAGTTACAGAAGAAATGCTATACGGCTGCTGATATGAAACTTGCAATACACAAGGTCATTGTCAATGCTCAATAGCATGCCCATGGATATGGTAATATCACATCAATAATACAGTAATGTATGGATATGGTAATGTATCAATAATGGAAAAACAAGCACAAATCAGAGAAAATTACATTTATTCTACATTTACATCATCTACAAAGGAAGAGGATAACTTCAGAGTACTGTTTGTATAATAGATGAGTACACTCTGCATGCTTCAAATGTTTAAAATTGAGTTTTATTTCAAGTGTCCCTTTTTACCCCATTTCCAGATTAATTCAGGAGCCTTTTATTTTGTGTCTAGCGCCTTACAAATAGCAAATGGAATTTTTTGAAGAAGCCACACAATAGCCCTCACAAAGACCTTTAAAATGAGCCCAAACTCATTTATGAAATGTTTCATGGTAAGAAGTTATTAACAACAAATGCTCAAAATTATACTACCTTACTACCCCATTTGAATGCTTGTTTGTTAATTCTTATTACTACCTCTTATGTTTTCAAAATGTTTTACTGCAGAGCAAAAATTTGCTGAGCACCATCAGTTCAAGCTTCTTGAAGACACTGCTTGGCTGATGGATCTTGCAGAATTTTGCTATGCCTTACCCAGCCTGAAAACATTATTACATTTACCAAATAGAAAAACATACATTTATAATGTAAATATTTGGGTTTAATAATTAATAAATTGGCCCTATGTAATAACTGGCTTCATGTTGCTGATGAATAATGTATTTCAAGTATCAAGTTTTCCATGCCCTAATTACATAGTACTAAATTAGAATAGTTAGAATTTACTAATAATTTATTGTATCAAGAAACCCAAATTGTGTTTCAAACAATATTTTTTTTTTTGCAGTTTAGCAATGATGACCGGTAGGTAAGACAAATTCATCAACTATTTTATTTATCTAATTTGTATAATTTATTTAATATATTGGTAGTATGATATAAGTACTACCAATGATGATGAAAAGGAAAATAAAATGCATGTACCAGCTGAAGTAATTCTTGATATCACATGATTTTTATATTGTAGCAAAAGTAATAAATGGATTAAATGCTGAATTTATTGGAGATGAGAGAAATTTTCTGAAATTTGTATAAATGGACTGTGCAGGAGTAATCATGGTTGAACTAAATGTTAGTTAAGTTATGGAAATGACAATGTAAGTAGTAAAGCGCAAATATTGAATATATGCAGGCTGGTGCAATTCAAACAGTTTTTTTTTACTAACTTGGCTTTAAAATATCCCTATTTTTTGCACAGGCACATTATTTCGCAGTTCTATCCTCTGAAGTAACATGGATGCACCCTTGATTTTTACCTGCAATGTTTGAAAATCATCCACAATACAGTCGTTTTCACCTGCAATTTTTGTCAACTTAAGCCCACTATTTCAAATTCGTCTCTCAGGGCCTTAATTCCTCAAACTTTCTTTAGTCAATCTTGATACATTTTGAGGATTCAGGATGGATAGGGTAAATTTTTTTTAGCACATTACAAAAATTATTATTAATTATATTATAAATTATATGAACAGGACAGTGAGAACAGGCCAATCTAGTACATTGGGTGGAATTTTTCAAACAATTGGCGGCAAAAGATCATTTTGTGGGGGATTTTTGGAAATCATTGACAAAGCCAAAAGTGCCATTATGCAGAATTTGGCAATGGAGTATATCTGCTTTCATAGCCACAACTTCCCTGCCATTTTTGGGACTGCCTGCTTGTTGCTACCTGAATTATCTCCCATATAATCATTAATACAATTCAGCTGCAAGATTGCAAAATTCTCTAAAATATGTGACTTTTGCATGGTTAAATTTCAGTGATATGTGTAAATATTTAATTTTGCTTGATGGTAAATCTGCAAAATCTTTAAAAACAGCACACATCATGAAATGTTTTCAGATATGAAAGATTTTTTACCTCGTGGAGTAACAGAATGGTCTTAAAATTTATTAATTGCTTCCTGATGGCAGGAATCATCATAACCTATTTAATATCTGAACACATCTCCGTTTTTAGATACCCAGCTGCAACTAAAATCTTCTATGTTTTGAGTTTCATTTGTCAATAGCTTCCTTCACTTACAACTTTGACCTCAATATGATCATCATTTGATGTTTACACTTCAAAGTAATATGAACCAATCTTATATTTGTGGCTAATCTTCAACAAAAATGTTTTTTAATTTGTCACCAATCATAAACATAAACATAAGCCTAAGCCACTCTTGCTCTAATTTGCTCTGACCAATATTGAGTGGTCTATTTTTTTTGTATGTAAATTTATCACACATTTATTGTTAATATTATGCAATATTTATTTTTTTTGGAAAGTTATGAATTTGTTTGGTACATATATAATATTTATTTGGTATATAATATTCAATTCCACTAAATATTTCTTCTTCCTAGATTCATTGAAAAATTTAACTGAGCAAATTTTTGGTTCAGTAAATATTTTATAGCTCAATTTGTTTTCTCAGGTGATGGCAATAACCACAAGGCAGGCCATCATGCTCCAAGACCAGGTGGAGAGGGCGTCATACAAACATCACTGCCTTCTAAAGTTTCTGCCAGAGAGATAATTTCGCCACAACACTCGCATAGTTTTGTCTCTCCTGCAGTTGAGCGACTTTTTTTTCCTAAGCTCAGTAAGCCACAACTCTTCCTGTCTGCACATCACTTTAGCACATGAAAATTTAATTTATTTTAAGTTTAATTTAGTTATTTGATCATTGACATTGATTTATAGAATGATAATTTGAGTCCTTTTTTAGTTTATATCAATAGAGATAAAAATGATTCACATAAAATGTATGCTACGGTATATTGAAAAATGCCAAGTATGTGATAATGATTGATACAAGTTTCCATTTGAAATTAGATGGATTTCAAAAGTTTACTAGTTTACTACATGAGTTACAGTGTACAGCTACTCATGGTTAAAAGTACTACAGGTTTAAAGCTACTGATTAATTTAGCAGCACAGGACTTCTTGCATGTAGAAATTTCTTGGTATTTCTCTAGCCCAAGTTTGATGTTTTAATGCCTGGTACAGTCAGTTTTTGGTATAAATTTATAGTAGATAGGTTATAATAAATCGGCTCTGTTCATTAAAAACTTTAGAGTCATTTTTCCTCTTGGAGTTTTGTTCATAGGTATATAATAAAATGGGAAAAATTTTTTTGCTGTAATTTTAATAAGATTATACACATTAGATTGTATTTATTCTGCTTCAGTTCATCATAATCACTTTTATGGGCAGGTCCAGATGTTAGTGATCCTCTGAAGGCTCAGCCTAATTTTGTCACGACGCTTCAACAAATATTGGACAATCTCAAGACAAGACGTTATTTTCTATCATATCTGGAAGGCAGTGAGTCTCAAGTACTGGCTGCCTTCTGGATTGATGTGCACAATCTTCAGCAATGTGGACTGGAAATTCTGGCTGAACAAAAAACTGGCTGCCAAGAGAAATGTTCAGATGTTGGCTCAAATAACATTCAAAGCAATGATGGAAATAAAATATTGTCTTGCTCTTCTACTGACAAAACCTGCGATGAAACAAAGAAAATTCTTGATGACAGACCTGACTGTAACGGCTCTGGAGATTCTATGGATGGAATTGTGGGAAAAGCCAGTGACTATACAAATCATTTTGTCCATGAGAAAAAAGAACTGGAGGGTTCTGTGTCTAATATTTCTAATGCTAACTTTTATAGTTCAAATTCTAATTCCTGTGATACTCAATTAGTGGATAATTATTCTTCCAATCAGTGTGAATTTAGTGATTCCGATAGACATATTATTAAACTTAGTAGTAATGATAACAACTCAAATTTTGAAAAACTCAACCCTCTCGAGAGTTTTGGAGAATTCATTATAGATCCTAACACTAAAGATGTCTCAAACCACAGGAGCAGTCTTACCAATGGCATTAATAACAATGAAAGTAAAGCAGTCCCCGGCGTAAAAGATTCTTCAGTAGAGCCATGCAACTTTAACAGAAACGAGGAAGGTTTCTCAAATGAGATTCTTCAGCACCTATTCAAAGAAGTTTGGAGGATATTTGAACGCTATATTGCCGTTGACTCAGACTATAAATGTCCTATCAGTGACAAAAGCAAAGCCAAAGCTCGAGAGAAAATTGGTAAAATGCATATAAACTTTGATCCTTACTGCTTCAAAGAAGCTCAGGACGAGGCTTACATGCTTTTGGAAGGGTGAGTTGTCAATTACAAATTCTGTTGTTTTGATTATTTATTAGTGTTTCTTGTACAGAAACTCCCTAGTACATATTTAAGTTGATTGTTACTTCCTCAAGCAATTTTGACAACTTGAGTGAAACTAAGCGTTTGTGAAGATTTGAATGAAAATATTTCCAGGCTTAGTAAATCTCTGTACTAATTAATATATTTGTTGTGTATATATAATAGTTTAGTTGATAACATCTCTCATTTCTTTCAGTGAGGTTGCAGGTTTCTTGTCAAGCAATTACCATCTACGGCATCAGCTTGACCTCCTCTCGTATTCCAGTCCAACTCTACCAGACATGTTATTTTCCCAAGCTGCCTTCCCGTACTTTGTTGAGGTGAGATAAACCTGTCAATTGATCCAGGTGAAAGTAACTTTTAAATTGAGCCAGGTGAGATAAACCTGTCAATTGATTCAGGTGAAAGTAACTTTTAAATAGATCAGAATTTTAATTGCTTGTGTACATGAAAAATCACTCCCGCTTTGCTGTGCTTCAATTATTATTCAACATTTTTTAAATCGTTTCTTTATCAGGCTATTTCAAGGCAATACAATTATTTTTGTATTTGCATACTGACCTTTTTTCTGCTCTAAGCCATAAGTTTTTCAACTTCGATAAGTAGGTACTTTAATGCATTTTTTTTTGCTGAAGATGAGTCTCATCTGGTTGGACATTATTCGTGGTTAAAACTTCATCGAGACTAAACTCATTTATTCTGGTTCATTTACATTTCATTGTACTAATAAGATGATATATTCCAAATAACCATGCTTTTCTTCTTCCAGTTCCTCGACCAGAAAGGAGGCCGGCCTTTGCTTGAGTTTTGGATGATGGCCTCTAATTTTAGAGAACAACTGCAGTCTGCCAGTGCACCATCATCTCCAACTGATACAACATTGGACAACTGTTCCCATGATACTTCGAAGACCCCACGAAACGAATCATTGTCAGTACAGAACCAGGAAGATGCCATGGTTATTTACGACAAATATTTCTCCCTGCAAGCATCACAAAAACTTGGGTTCAGTGACGAGCTCCGATGCTTTGTAGAGAGCAATATCTGCCAGGAACAAGGTCCGGACGCGGACTGCTTTGACGTCGCGGTGCGGATTGTCCTTTACGTCCTACAGACGTGCTTCTTACCTGACTACCTCAGCTCCACTCTCTATGATGGCTACATCTCTGACCTTCTTGCTAGTGTCAAGCATACCGCTGGGTTAGTCGTGTAGTATTCTTAAAGACAAAATTTTCTCTAATGATAACTTCAGATTTTATTTGTAATTATTTGTTTCATGTAATGTACTTCGTACTTTGGTCAGTCAGTGTCGAGCATACCGCTGGGTTAGTCGTGTAGTATACCAAAAACAAAATTTTCCCAAATGATAACTTAAGATTTTATTTGTAATTATTTGTTTCATGTAATGTACTTCGTACTTTGGTCACTTAGTGTCAAACATACCCCTACACACTATATATATCGCTGGACAAAAATCTTCCTACGATAATAATTCACATAATTTTATTTCATCTCAAAAATTTTCCACCGTGTCTCAAGAAAAATAATTTCTTCTATGTTTTTAGGTTCATATTAAATGCTGGATATCTCTTATTCCATTTGATTGGAAGCAGTTGTTAATGCAAGCTCGTTTGACTGCATGTCAGCTGACAAATTTATAAATTTTCCCTGGTCGCATTCACTTATGTATTTGATTTGTTATTGGAGATAAGATAACAGAATGTCTATCAGCTGGCTATCATGCACCTGGGGGGCAAATGCTCGTAGCAAACTAGATCCTTGATACATTTATTCTGCTGCTCCATGCGATGCGTGGAACATCGCTATTAAGAGCTACAGAAGCATTATAGAAACTAAAGCTATTGAGATATTATCACTGTTCATTACATGCATAAATTGCTGACAATTCTGCCTCTGAACAATACATGTGTTAGATCTACTGAAGCATTGTAGATCTTGAAACTATTGAGATATTATCACTGTTCATTACATGCATAAGTTAGTGACATTGCTGACTCTGAACAGTNTCGGTCCGACTAGTGGCCTCAACTGTATTTTATGTCTTCATTTTAAATTATTCAGTAGCAATCTAATTTATTCTCCCAGACAATTGATTTATCTATCAAGCCTATCAAGCCTGAGAGTTTTACTTCAATATTTGTGCTGTCAATGATATTCCATGAATTAATTTTGACCCGATTTTTTCTATTTAAACCACTACACTATTACTCAGAAATAATTAGTTATATTCATGAGTGATTGGTGTTATTCTTCAAGCTCTCGTTCTGCGTCTAATTCTTAATAGTAAGCAAATTTCCCGCCTATTTTGCACCATAGCAAAGAATCCAATGATGCCATAGACATTGAAACATAAGCTGATAGCTTCTGTTTGACATAAGCTGGTTAAATTGATACTTGAATACAAATCTCTATCCTGCTTATTGTGCTAGAACCTAAATAACTTATTTCATTGTCCCAATTTCCCGTCTAACAAATCTGTTATTTTCTGAGCATCATTTTCTGAATATCATCTATTATTATCATCTGAATATTGCCTGAATCTGAGTATTTTCTGAATATCATCTATTATTATCATCTAAATCTGAGTATTTTCTGAATATCATCTATTATTATCATCATCTGAATATTGTCTGAAACTGAGTATTTTCTGAATATCATCTATTATTATCATCTAAATCTAAGTATTTTCTTAATATCCTCTATTCCCGTGACAGGCCGCAGCTCTGGCAAGACTCCCGCGCTGCCCGCCGCTACGAGCGACATGCGCATAGACGCCAGGCTCATCTCTGATCCCGACTCTCTGTGGCGGCGGCCGAATATTACGGGGTTTGTTGAACCTGCGGCTCATTTTGCTTGTTTGACTGTTACGCTTTGATATGACATTTATCTTATGAATATTACGGGGTTTGTTGAACCTGCGGCTCATTTTGCTTGTTGTTTTACTGTTACGTTTTGATATGACATTTATCTTATGAATATTACGGGGTTTGTTGAACCTGCCGCTCATTTTGCTTGTTTGACTGTTACGTTTTGTTATGACATTTATCTTATCTTCCCTCTTATACTGTTGTTGGGATATTGCTTCCGATGAAGAATTTATTATTTTAACCACTACAGGTATCTTGGGAGATGCTATTAAAAACATTGTTAAGGAGCATGCAAGACATTTTCCTGTGTTTTATGGAATCGGATTTTATGTAACAAAGTTGATGGAAAGCTCTGTTCCATTCTTTGAATCACTCTTCAATTATCCCATGTAATTTAAGTTATAGTGCATTTCAATTATTTCTTTTCACTCCTTGCAATTGAATTGCTCTTTATTTCACTGTCCTACATTTCATTTAAAATGTAAAGTTATGTCATGTATTTGTTGATGGGTGCAGAGGGCTGAGCTGCGGATCCATTAATGCGCTGGGACGCTTCGAGTCGCTGCTGCAGGTAGAGGAGCTGAACGTCGCCAGCAACGACCACTCCAAGCTCGCCAGGACGCTGCGTAGACTCGCCAACAGAGACGATCATAAGGTAAATACTCTGGTTAATAAGGTAAATGATCATAGGTAAATACATAAGGTAAAGCAATAGCCTATTGCTTCTATAACTCCATGGCATTATGGAGGTTTTATTATCATGTTCCGCCAACAGAGACGGTCATAAGGTAACTACTGCTACCAATAGCCTGTTGATTTTATAACTCCATGGCAGTATGGAGGTTTTATTATCATGTTCCGCCAACAGAGACGATCATAAGGTAACTCTACTGCTACCAATAGCCTATTGCTTTTATAACTCCATGGCATTATGGAGTTTTTATTATCATGTTCCGCCAACAGAGACGATCATAAGGTAAATGCTGCTACCAACAGCCTGTTGCTTTTATAACTCCATGGCACTATGGAAGTTTTATTATCATGTTCCTTTTGGGGTTTAACCCTCTACCGCCTAACATGAGTAACCGGAGCAATATTGTCACAAGCCTACTTCCCAAAAAGGATACGTTCTAGTGAGCTCCAAATGACTTGCACTGATGGTTGCCGCCACGTACGACAACTTTAAAATATTCTCTGCTGCGTACAATCGTCCCCAGGTTGCTACACTCAATAGTTTACGTATAATTTAAGTTGTATGTTATGTTCTCGGAGAGTGACTTACGGCGGTAGAGGGTTAATAACTTCCTGATATTATCGATCTTTTATTGTTTTTTTTTCATTTCCATTTTCCGTATGTGGCACTAAAGTGGCGAAATTTATCAATTAAAATGAAGGGATTTAGTTGAGGTGAATCGGTATTACATTGACAAGATGCTCGTCGTGTATCGTAGATTTACCATTACATTGTTTCATCATAATAAATGAAAGAAGAATAAAGAATCATTACTAATTATAAATCATCATGTAAGTTAGATTGTGTAGCAGTGAAGCGTCGTATTTATTACACATGGCCTGTATTTATCTCCTAGTGTTTCTTGAGAATTATTTAAAGGGATATTAACGTTATAGATTTGTCGTTATCAGCTGAACAGACATGATTTTCAGAAGCATTAATAACCGTCAGTCAGCGAAGTCATTGACAAGTTCATGTTGCATGTAAAGTATTTTTGATAAGCTTAACAGTTAATTTATTGCGGCTGTTATACCACTCGTGGTTATTATATCTTGAAAGTTATTTTGTCAAGAGGCCATGCTATCCTCTCTTGAATGCGTATAACTGCTGACTGGCCCGAGACTGACTTGACCACCTTCATTCCAGACGCGCCTCGAGCAGGCATATTCAGTGGCTGCGGCGATCGTCGGAGACGTTACGCGTGTCACGCTGGACGCTCGTAACACTCCTGCGTCACCTTACCACCCCACCGACCCCTACGACCTGGCGAACCTTCGTCACCCCCAGCATCCACTAACCTCCTCCTCCTCCAAGCCCAATAATAACACCAACGTCTCGGACGACTTCGTACCTCCTTTGCTCTACTCGGAGTACTTCAAGCCCTTGATAGTGCGCGGCTCGAACTCTAACCTCTCCATAGCTTCTTCCACGTCTGATTTACCTCAGTCCTCTTCGAGTGTTTCTTCGCCCGCAAAGTCGAGTCTTGTTTCGATGCGCAAGTCTTCTTCAAATTACAACTTCAGTGACATCACCGACGGCCTCTTTGGTTCTGGTAGTCACGGCCTCGCTCATTCCTACAGCCTCGCCTCCTTCGACCTCGAAACTGATGTGGACGCCGATTTTCCCGCCCTCCCTACCGAGCCTGAATTGCAATTGAGAAAAAATTCGAAAATATAGCGATTACACCCAAAGTTCTTTCTGTTTCATATGATATTGTTGAATTAAAAATATTTATTCTGAAATTTATTTTTATTATTTCTTTCTGTTCATTGTCATTGTATTGTGTTTTCTCATTATAGGTTGTGTTTAGTGCCTTCGAATTTCTGGACTGGATTTCTTTCAGCCTTCCTGCGATCGCTCTTGAAATGATACCACGGGTGTTGTAATATGAATTTTTAGCCGGAATATACAGCTTGATAAATATTACTTCATTAATGATGTCTTCTTTTAAGAAAACCTAACATGTTGCCCACTTGTATAACGTAGTAAAACATTGTGAAATAATTAATTCTCAATTGCCAGTTCCCATCATTTTGGTCAAGGTTTTTTTATCGTGTTTATGAATGTAGATTTTGACGTTTTTTATCTGAGGTTACTGCGTAATCTTTGTGGCAGTGTAGCTACTGCCGCTGACCTACAAGCGTCATGCTGGCCCTTAATTCCTGCATTCTTATATATTTGGTGAGGCATTCAAACTGTGATCGCCTCTATTAATTAAGATAATTTGAAGCTAGCGCGTGGACGATACACGCATTTTGATGGATTTTTATCGCTGTGAGTGCAATTAGTCTAGCATTCCTGTTCAGGGTAATATATTCTATGTACATTGTTCACGGAATGGACACGAGTCCTTTATAATGTCTTGATTATGAGTCTCATTTGTTTTCTCTTTGTTCTTGTTAAGGCTCGTATTCCCACACGTCGTGGGAGAAACCGTAGTGCTTCTTTGAGCTGCTCTTTGTGGAAGCTCAAAGTTGCCTTGCACTTCTGTGTTCTTTGAAGTTCAAGTATAAGATAACTATTTTGCACGCTGAGTTCTTCCGTGTATGCGCAGACTGATTTCTGATTTCTTTGCATTTTTGATTTATTGCGACCAAGTTTAGTGCAAAACTCTTGATTTCATTGATTTCAATGCAAAATCTTACAAGGTGTAATTAAATATTGCATTGTAATTTTCCTTTCTTAGGAAATTGAACTAAATAATTTTCAGAAATCGCCCGATATAAAAAATTACCCTTAGCTCCCTGTTCTGCTTCTCGTTGAATTATGTGCCTAACTCCTCGTTACGTTTGAAGATCTTGTTTCAATTATTACATGTTCATGTTGCTTACGTTATCCCTGCCTGTGCCTGGTTGTGTTTATCAATAATTTAATATTTGTTAATGATCGTTCCACGGGACGAAGTAAAATATCTCGATTTGTTTTTAAACGAGCACAGATTGTCTTTTTCTCTGTTCACGTATGATCGAAGTTCTTTGCTTTTCTATGTACTTTCTATGATTTATAAGGCTTGTGACAAATCGAACATACGTCATAAGTGTCGCTGGCAACGCACAAAATATCCATACTCGGTGTAACGTTGGCTGGTATGAGAGTACATCTCGTACCGTTGTAGGCAAAATTATTCCACCGAGCCTCATGCAATCCTTAAGTCTGCTTCAAAAATTTTCCAGTAGTTTAGATTTAAAATTATATAAAATAACTAATACTTGTTGCCTTGGACACCAATTCTAGAGTGAAACTTAGTGTTTCTAATATGAATATGGCCTGGCGTTTCTAAAATTTGAAATTGATTTGAAATTTGAGGGTTTTTTCAGTAAAACGTTTGTCGTGTAGTTGGGCTAATCCTGCTTCTGCTGTCAAGCCATCCTCGAATGCCTGAAGCCTTCGCAGGCGTGGGCCGAGATTCATACAAATTTTTTCTCCTTTATTTAGTGTGGTATTATTCTCTTAGTAGTCTGACTGCTCATTTACGTTATTTGTTATGAATGCTTCAGTCCCGTACTTTCTTCCATTGCTCTCATGCGTTTTTTATGTTATGGCTTGCAAACCTTTTAGTGTTAACTGAAAACACTCTCAATTGTTTAGATTCCATTTATTTAGCAATATATAGTACCTATGTTATATTCCTTTGAGTTACAGGGTAAACGGATTTCTCCTTAGAATCTGATTGACTGTCAATGGAGCATTAAGTTCAAGACCTGTTGTCATGTGGTCGATTTTTGCACACGATTCCTAGAGAACTAAAAATGCTACTATTTTAATAATACATTTAACGAGAATCTCAATAATGTGTTCACCTTGAATCAAACTTAATTCATTTGAAGGGGAAAAAATTATAACGGGGCCTTGACATTTTCTGACGCAAGCTTGGAAAAGTTTCTTAATTTTGCCAACGGTTCACTGTTCGATATAAACTAGTCGCCAGAAAGTGTTTATCTAATTTGAATTGAAGTGAAATTTTTCCTTAATTCCAGAGTAAGTTTAACTCGCTTCGACTTGGTGGAATTTTATCGAAAGGAAATACATCATTTTATTAGAATACTCTGGATTGAAAGTGTAACTGGAGTGAGAGTGACTGGAGTGAGAGTGACTGGAGTGGGAGTGACTGGAGTGAGAGTGACTGGAGTGAGAGTGTAACTGGAGTGAGAGTGACTGGAGTGAGAGTGATTGGAGTGGGAGTGACTGGAGTGAGAGTGACTGGAGTGAGAGTGTAACTGGAGTGAGAGTGATTGGNTGAAATACAATGCTGTCTCTTATACACATCTAGATGTGTATAAGAGACAGGAGTGAGAGTGTCTGGAGTGAGAGTGTCTGGAGTGAGAGTGTCTGGAGTGAGAGTGACTGGAGTGAGAGTGACTGGAGTGAGAGTGTAACTGGAGTGAGAGTGACTGGAGTGAGAGTGTTACTGGCGTGAGAGTGCTCTTATTCTTAAATATGTCATGTGCTCTTTAAATTGTTTGCAGGAATTTTTGTGGCGTTACACGTGACAATGCAATGACGTCTTCTGTATATGTCAAGCCTTCCATATCAGGGGTTGAGCTTTTCCTGTTTCTTTGATCAATATTAATTTGTTGAAATGATATATGCTTATTCCAGTACATTCTTAATGATTATTCGCAACTTCATTTCACGCGCACTGAATTTTTTTACTGTTTTTGGTTCTCTCATTTGAGAATTTTAGCGTCGAACGATTATTGCGATGTTCCTTCATACTTTTTGTCATGATGCGCTTGGTCCTCTGTAATGACTTCATTATGATTATTATTGACTGGAGACCAGTTAATAATGTGTGCACTGGCTCAAGTAAATATTATTAGATAATGAAATCGAGATCAGTTCGACGTGATGTCTAAGTCTGTATAAATTAAAACATATTGGAACCTGTTTCGTATAATCGTCTTTAGGTTCCTGAGAAGGATATACAATTCAATTGAGTAAAAATTCATATATTTTTATTTTCTTATGAATTCCCTGAAGCAAGTTACCTGGTATGAAATGTGGAAAAATTCAAACAGCATCGAAAAACGGGAATAGTCAAAAAATTATTTGCAATTGGCTCGGCGATTATGACTATTAGTGATCCGAAGTCGTTCCCTTCCTCGGTTTACTGATGAAGTAAAAGATTCTTTTTTACTGGATTTCAAATCGGGCTTTAAGTAATATCATTAGCTCGTCCATGATCAACCTTCGTGGTATGTGTGGACTTGGTAACTTGAGACATAACTACTAGCAATGACAAGGCTGATGCCATGCTTGATTGCATTCCTTGCCATGCAAGAACTCTGAACCACTTCAACACTTTCGGGCCGAATTGTTAGGACGAATTTTCATAGCAGTTTTTCCACGCATTTTGCCAAATCGAAACCGACCTTGACCTAATCAACAACGAAGCTATTTATTCTCAGTGCACTCCTGCGATCTTTGTCTAAGTTTTCATTTTATCAAATAGCATAACGTTGTTAATTGGATTAAGATCGGTTTTATTTGCCGAAATTATGCATGGAAAATATACTAAAACTTCAGCGCTCATTCATTCATTCATTCATTCCACGAAGAGATTGTCGTGGCGTCTCGTTCACATCGAACTTCGAGGGCACGTTACAAGCGGCTTAAAAAGACCCGAAAGGATAAAAACAGATGACGTCTATGCTAAAACAGAGGACATGTGCCAAGACTGATGACGTCTATGCTAGAACAAACAACATCTATACCAAACCAGTAATATGCATGATAGATTAGATGACAGCTAGGCCTAAGATTCAAAGGCTCTANGTCTGCTCGCGCGATGGACAGCCCGCTGGAGCAGCCGAACACCACGCTTCGAGGCGCGACATTCGTCGTCAAACCACGGGTCGGAGGCTCGCTGGGGGACACGAACAGTTCGTGCAGGAATGAGGTCGTCGAGTAAAGATGTCAATTCGATGTCGTAGAGTTTTGCTAGATCATCCACCGACAGCTCCGACCATGAGCCCGGCCGACCAAGTCGGGTCTCCTGCTCTCTAAATAAATTCTGTCGATACTACCATAATCATCATGTCGATAATATAATAATTTTGGTCCTGGGCCAATACTTTAAAAAAAAGTTAAGAGATCGTAAGTTCATCAGCCAATCATTGACTGCCTTCCAAGTAAATTTCACCAATCATAGACAAGCAAATAGAGCGTAAGTACTTACGTTCACTTAGCGAGTTTTGAAAGTATGGCCCCTGGTCGTTTCTGATTTGCCTAACGTATGCATTGAAAACCTGCTATGGAAACTCATCCCAAAAATTTGATCCACAGGTGTCGATGTGGTGACTCTGATGTGTTATGGTACTTGTGAGAACTAATGAAATACAATGTAAGCAATGATGATTGTCACATAACAATTTTTATGTGTATGAGTATGACAATGTTTAAATCTGTTTTTCCAGGGTCACCACTCACCACATATCAATCCCAACGTGGAAAATTTTGGGTCAAACGTGTCGATGTGGTGAATACTCGAAATTTATGAGTTGAGATAATTCGGCACTGTATAATTTTCTCACCGTACCTGTCCAATATTACTACAAAATTAAACACAAAAATACTGATTAAAAACGTCCCATTGCCTTCTTTGTGAATTTTGCTCACCTAAGGCACTAGGTTGTTATGATAGATAATTGCTCAAAATTTTAATAACTGAGTTTCATATAAAAGTTAAAGTCTCGGACAAATTTGTCCTAGACGTTAAAAGTTAGTCATGCATGCCTTGCAATGTCCAGCAGCTATCTCAATCAATCGTCAGTAATGGAAAGATAGGGTTTAAAAGGCCGGATCCCTTGTGGAATCAAGTCACAAAAAGTACATGAATAGGCAACAGGCCATGGGCCTATTTCTTCAGTGCCAACACTTCTATTCTATACTAATTAATCAGGTGCCACAGTACCAGCTCACTACATCATTTACATAGTAAATCATTCTTGTGAAAGTTAAAAAATATTTGGGTTTCTTTAAATTCTCTCACAACAAGTTCGATTACAAATTTTCTCTAAAAATATTAATATATTTTATCCGGAAATTGTTGAACTATTTGTGGCAACATCGCACTCTTCAGAATCTGCCGCATTTTCATCGAAAGCCTCCATTCTTGTTCTCCCTTCATAGGTTAAACGTAGTTCAAGAATCGGCTGAACACCAACCGAAATGGCTTCTAAAGACGAATTAGCTTGCACCTACGCTGCTCTCATCTTGATGGACGATGACGTCCCTATTACGGTGAGTATTTCTTGGTTATTAAGGTTCACTATACTGTTTTATATTGAGTATTATATGATGTCAGTTTTAATCCTTGTACCTAACTCTAAGCGACGATCTCTTACATGCGATGACTCATTTCAGCCCAAGGATTCAGTCCTCTGTAATATACTCTCTGCCATTTAGGTATCATACATAGTGTATTTTAATTTTAAAAGCAATTTGATTGCGTGCAAACTGCCGAGGCCATGCGGGCATGCCTGACCATGCGATTTAATGTCAGTAGGCTATCTACGCTACTCCAGGTGACTGCTGCTTATTGCTTAGGCTAGGTAGTCTTTAGTCACCGTGATTAGTGGCTATGTTGGATCACACGGAAAAGTTTTGCTATTAGACAGCCAGAAAATGAAAAAATATAGGAAAATAAAAATATATTTATATAAATGTAAATATAGTAAATATTTTTTTAGACTAGTGTATGCTAGGTACCCCATATTTATTGATCAGATTCATTGTTCTTGTTAAGTGGGAAATTTGGGACATTTACCTAGCTGGTAGGTATGCGCACATTGCACAAAAATTGTTTTCCTCTGATCTTAATGAAAATTATATAGTTGAAAAGAGAAAATTTGAAAAAAATATCGTATAAATGAGTGTTATACAAGTAAAAGTGAAAAGCTATAAAAATTTTCCTTTATTGAATTAGGCTATGTCTCCATAATGGACCAATTTCTGCCTTTTTTTTGGGAAAACTATTTCTAGGTTTCCTATGAGCCAATTTTAAAGTTTTTAGTATGATTAGAAAGCTCTTGTTGTAAGCTATCCATACTAGGTACCTAGCCTACCTAACTGAAACAAAACATTTCAATTGAGATTTTGACTGCAGGAGGGTGAGAAAAGTGGGTGTGACCATCAGCAGGGCTGGAAAAGTCCTATTTTTGTCTGAAATATCGCGGCTCTAATATATAATTTCAGTAGGCATGAAATCTCGCGGCTCGAATGTCATAAATTTTTGTTTGATTGAAAAATTGCGGTTTGCACTTTGCAACCATGTCATTTCATAATATTTTGAACTTGCACAATCTGCATTGCTCTACCGTTCCCGCCAAAATATCCTGCAGAAAAAACATAAACATCGTAATGTAAAGTGTAAACAAATCAACTAAACGTTTTGTTGAAGATCACGCATAGTTGCGGTCATGTCAAAGCGGTCAGACTGTATTATCACGTGCTCAACTTACAGTGAAGGAAAATTTTATTGTTGCTGTTGAAGTCTTTTAGGCCATTTAGGGTAAAATTAGAGATTTGGGGTAACATGTGCATGGACTTTGTAAATAAATTCGCGTCTCGTAAATGGCTTTTCATGGCCAAGATATGGAATTCACGGCTTGGTGAAATGGAATCAAGGCTCAAAGAAATGGAATTACGGCTGGCAAATCCATAAAATCATGGCTCGAAAAATAGTCGCGGCTTGCCAAGTAGATATATTCCATGCGGACAGGACCATGCCTGACCGTCAGACCATCTGACCGAGTGACTGATAGATATGAATGGTATAGGCCTGAATTAACTAGAAAGGGAGAAGTGAACAGAGTCAAGTCCACTCAATAATAAGTGATGGAGAAAGAATACAAAAATTATAAATAAATGACAAATACATAAATAAATGATTAATGAATGAATGAAAGAATAATGAATGATATGATAGATAAATGATGGGTACTCTGGGTAGTGACTGGAAAGTTATGAGAAAATTCTGATGAAATGATGGGGAGATATGAAAATAGGTAATAAGAAAATGATGGCAAATGATGAGAAAATGCTGGGAAAGTGATGGAGGAAATGATGGGAAAATTGTGAATAAATGATGGAGAAAATGATGGGCAAAGGTTGGAATAATGATGGGTAAATGGTGCAAAAATTATGGTTAAATGATGTGAAAGTGATGTCACTGATGGGGGAAATGATGGGAAAATTATGGAGAAAATGATGAAATAATGATGGGTAAATGTTGGAATAATGATGGGTAAATGGTAGACTCCTGCGTTTGGTATTTTTTTAATACGAGACCGTCGAGACGAGACAACAGGCTCTGTCCCGGTTCGCAATAAAAATCGGGACAATTTTCAGCCCTCCGTAGGAATTCCGGGACGATACCGAGATGAGACGAGACATCCCGGTTAAAATAGGTACCTTAAAATTTCCCGGAGTTTATAGCCATTTTAACAAGACATAACGAGATGAATCAATTATTGATGTGGTGTAAACATTGGCTTACCATCATACATTTATATAGAGCTGGGCAGCACTACTTTGAAATGTAGCGGCCGCTACCGCTTCATGCTCTAAATGTCGCGGCCGCTACAGCTACCGCTACAATTGCTGAAATGTAGCGCCGCTACATGGAGCGCGCTACTGCCCGGCCACCTCTGGTAACAACTAACATGTTGACACTAGTAACAGGCTGAGGTTGACAACACTACACTGAAATCTTTCGTACAGTTTTATTCTGTAATTCATATTATGTATGTATTTCATGCTGGTTTTTAAATAATATTAAATACTATTGAGTAAAATTTAAAGGCTTTATTTATAAAAGTAGCGGTAGCGCTGTAGCAGCAAAACCTCGTATTGCTACTTTGATATGTAGCGGGCGCTTCCGCTACCGCTACAATTGCTAAAATGTGGCGCCGCTACCGCTACTGAAAATGTAGCGGCCGCTAGTAGCGCGCTACTGCCGACCTCTGCATTTATATAATAACTTGAGACGTATCCTTTTACTATTCTGATTGGAGCTCGGCACTTTATATGATTTTTGCTATGAATAGATGTTGTGGTTTAATATGGTACTTAATCTTGACAGGGAAATAAAAATGGAAAAACACTTTTTTTCAAAAATTGTGTTCTATGATGGTTTGGAGGAGGCCATACTAGCTGTAGCTGGTGAGTGGTGACATCGGCTGACTGGACAGACTTTGATTTGCCTCCAGCTCAATCACAGAATCAGATTCATCGATCTTGCCTTAAGCAATCTCCGTCAACAAAAAGTTTGGAAAGAAATATCAACAACATTTTAAAATACAACAAAATTTAAGTTGGAAAAAATATAATAGTTTGATCTTCAATAAAGAACTCGAAATATCTATGTGTATCCTTTCTAAATAACGTTAAATATGCCCAAGTGTCTGATAACAATTCAGGAAATTGCGCAATTGTGAAGATTTCCTGGAGGCATAGCGCAAAATTTTACTAAAGGCAGAGATAATCTAAAACTAGCTTTAGTTTTGTTAGGAATGTCTTACCAGGACTCCACTCCACTGTCTGCTAATTGGCTGACTAATCTAGACACTGCGTCCCTACTCCCTATGCGCTCCATGGCGCCTAAACTCGTTCCGAACGCGTAATAAACTCGACTCGTTCTCGTATGGTTCCCATAAGTGCCATCGAAGCTTTAGTTAAGACTTAAGAGTAACATTTTTTACTCAATACTCAGCCATGCATACATCGACAGGTTTGCGGTGTTTGTCGGACCACTAATTAACTGTCATGTCAGGTAGTCAGACAAATTTTGCTAAATCTGCAATTAACTCAATTTAACTGGTAACTGTCTATGGCCCTATTAGCAATAAAGAGCTAACTTGCCATTCTTCAACCCATGTTTTTGAAATGATTAGAAAATAATTAAGACAAATTTCGTCTCGTTATGTCTTGTTTCAAATCTGTCTCGTCCTGGTTCATAATTTACCGGGACACAAGTTTTGAAGTCCAGGACAGAAGTCTTGTCTCGGTTCATACATTTATTCCGGGACAAATTTTACCCTCTGTCCCGTTATTTTTTTCCCGGAATTTTCTCGTCTCGTTTCGTCTGTCCCGGTTCATTTCAAGAAAATTATTTCGAGACGCAGGAGTCTAGTAAATGGTGTAAAAATTATGTTTAAATGATGGGAAAATGATGAAAAAATGTTGGGGAAACAATGATAGAAGTGAACTGAACATGAACTGCAGTACTACAATGCAATTCCAGAATGGTAGAAATCACTCTCAGAATAGCTGCAGAGCCCTGAAATTTTGAGAGCATGCTCTAAAAACTGTAATCTTGATTTAAAATTATCTTTCATTAATGTATAATACAATATCAAGGTTTATTTTCAGCACAAATGTTACTCCTTACACATCCCAGCTAAGCAAGTAATTTATAGACATTTTGCAGAAAACAAGATGGTGTAGTCATAGTTTTCTTAAATTTGTTTCCAAATGTGAGTCAATTAAATTAAGCTAACATTGGAGCAGGGCTTTCAAAATTGAATACCTTACATGCACTGATGTTCAAAATAGCTGTCTGCCATGTTTAATTTTGAGCATAGTTTGTGCGCATGCCTACATTTAGACATTCTGAAGTCAAGAGCTTATTATTGTTATTGGCAAAAGCCCAATCAATATTGATGTATTTGACTTTGTAATGTAACCTTTGACATTGAACTTTTTGGTGCTGCTGATTGCATAGACAAATGAAAAGATGTGAAGTTTATATTTAAAGTTATTATGTTTTATTCAGTATGCAAGCAGGGAAGTTCATGGAACTTTCAAGTTATTTCATACAAGTTCAGGATTAATTTGTTTGTGCAATGAATTGATTCAGTTCAACTGAGGCAGAACTCGGAAGATTCAGAATTTCCCCTCAGACGTTTCTGCTGTTTTATGGGCAGAAATTTTCAGTTCAATTTACGCATACATAGTATTTACATTTTTTTATATTCCTGTATATAAAAAATATTAACATTCTGGATAGTTATTGAATATGGAATAACATCCAAGCTAGGAAATTATTTGTGAAAAATGTTTATCAGATTTATGTGAAGAAGTTAGGGCTAGGGCCACTACCCTGCTAGGTCAGGTTTCATAGTGTAGCACAAGAGTTGTTGTAAAATTAACTCAAGGGTCATCTTGGTTGTCAGGCATCCACATGCCAGTCATTAGTCAGTAGGTTTCTTCAGTTGTTTGGTAGACTTCTGCATTTGGAACTTTTTTTTCCATTTGAGACGAGACAGTAAGCTTTGTCTTGGTTTGCAATAAGAACCAGGACAATTTTGAGCACTCAGATGGATCATTTTGAAACTTGGTACACATATGTAAAACAGAAATCTAAGACCTTCTTGTTTGTGTAAATTTTTGAAAAAATGAAAGAAAATGTGAAATTAATAGAAAACGGCAATAAAGGGGGTACTCTGAAAAAGTATAACTTTTGCAAATCACATGCTACAATGTCGGAACACATATCATTCGATTGGTAACAACATCTAGTGACTGTAGAGCCCCAATTTTTCATTTTCCTAATTTTTTTATTCACATTTTTTCCCATTTTTTCATATTTTTACCCCCCACATACAAGTCCAACCATGCACAAATTAAAAAAAAGGCTTCTAGAGTTGCTAGGTATAGTTTTTATGAATCAAATGGTATGTCTCTCATTGCCATAGCTTAGAAAGTGTTGGAGTTATAAACTTTTTAAGATGGTGTTTTTTGGATTTCAAAATTGTTCAGGGGAGCCAAATAAAGTAAAATTCATTGAAAACAGAAGAATATGCCCAAAAATGTCTTGATATTGTAGCCCAAGCTTTCCCATTGCCAATTATTTACATTCAGGGTACCAGCATGAGTCTTCAGACCTATTTATGTCCAATTTAACGTGAATAATCTATAAATGGGACTTTTTATATATAAATATATAAATAAAATATACATTTTACATAACTTAACAACTGCATTATGCAAAAACTATTGCATGTACATCCATGGTAGTAGCTTTGTTGAACGCGTCTCATTTGTAGCTTTCAAATGAGTGCAAACACTTTGTAATTAATGAGAGTAATGATCAATATATTCAGATTGAATTAAAATAAATCTTTGTACATGTTGTTGAAAAATGTTCATTTTATATATTTTTAAAATTGTCTTGCACAAAAACTATAGCATGCACAGACATGCGGTAAACTGCGTTAGACGCGCCCTTTCAGCAGCTACAAAATGAGTCAAGAAAATGGAAAAACCAAAATTTTAGAATTTTAGGGTAGACGGTCCCTTAATGATGGGATGCAGGCTGGAATTCTAAGAATGGGAGTTCACTTATAAAAGAAAACTTTCCTAAGATACAGTGCTCTGCCAGATGACTGACTATAAATGAATAGGAGGATCAAAAGTGGACAAACTGTTTCAATTGCATAGTACCTTAGATTTGTTATGGAATTGTTTGGATGTCTCTTGTTTGATTGATATATTTATTTTTCCTTTATATAATTTATTTTTTGAAAATTTTCCATGCTCTTTGTTTGTAATGATCAAGTTTGAGTATTAAGTTGAATGGTACTGTAGTACATATACCCTATGTGGGGGTAGGGCTTATGGGCACAACCAATCACAGCTTGAAAGAAGATAACATTACAGTTCCATTAACCAATCACAGCTGGGAAGCTGAAAGGGGGCTAAAATCACAATTCCATCAACCAATCACAGCTGGAAAGGAATAGGAAATGTATATAATGGACTGAAAGTAGAAAGTTTCTGGACTTCCCAAGCTTTCAGGTCCTGCCTTCCAACATTCTATGTGTACTGGTCAATTTAATATCCCTCTAGAATTCCACACTGTTCAGACCTATTCATTGGCAATTCCAATTTCCAATTGTGAGCTTGGCAATTAAAGACGATACATATTGTAATTTAACATGGCACTTGACAAGGCAAATAAAAAGTATAATCAAAATGTGAATTTTTTTAATTTTCTCTTCGCAATATTGTACTATAATGCAGATTGAATATATTTTCTCAAGCTGAAGGGGGTGAAGGCTAATAAAAAATCTTCAATGACAAAGTCTATAATTAAATTAAGTTTCCACTATTTGAGGGGGGTGTTGAGAACTGCCCAAACTCAAGAGCAAGCTTGCTTGAGTTCGCTGCCTAGGGCTGACTATCTTGCGTCTGGCCAGCGTGGTACAACAGGAATGCGTGCTAGCGCATTCCTGTGTTGGGCCAGCCCACAGTAGACCCTCACAACATTGCATGTCACCAATGAGCTTTGACAACTGCCAGCAAATTCTTTGCTATTTACAGCATGATTTTAAAAAAGCAAATGAAGATAAAACATTATGTGCCGTTAATTTTAAATATTTTTCCATATTATTTATTTCATTTTTCTGGTTCAAGCAAGGATGTGATTATTGTAAAGTTATTCATGCAGAAATATTAACTTAGGCTTTGATACCCATTCTTTCAACTAAATAACATTTTATTCAACTTGTGATAAATAAAGTAAACAAATTATATTGATAGAATACAACTTGGATGTGCATAGACTTGGGCAGAGACACCATGGAACAAAAGCTGCTAGGTAGCTGAGCTGATCCCTCAAACCCCTCACCTCTCCCCCAATCTCTGATGAGCGGGTTTTTGTTTCGCTACAATTTTTTTGTTTTTCCTTCGTTTGCGTGTTATATGGCTATACGTATACAGTTACATACATAAACAGCTCTTGGTTAAACCGGCTGGCAGAAAAGCTGGCCGTTCCTCCTATATCTGTATAACTCGCAAAGAAAGCAAAATATTAAAATTGTCACAAGCTACACATCACCGTTGGGAGGTTAGTTATTTTTATACAAAGTTTCATTGAAATCTGTTCAGTAGTTTAGAAGAAATTTCTTGGCGACTAATTACCCAGTGATACGGGCCAAATATAAGGAAGTGTGAAATCAAGAATGACAATGAAATGAAAAAAAACTTGCAAACAAAGGCAAAGTTGACATTTTTTTACAAGTTTAACAAAAAATAAAATCGCCACTTTTTAGTTAGAAATGTATATTTGAAATTTTGTTCAAATCTGTTCAGTAGTTAGGAAGAAATTCTTTGATCACTGCAAATTTTGGCCTGTATCGCAATATAACTCACAACGGGAGGTAAAAATTTAAAAATTTTCACAAGCTAAACATCACTGTTAGGGTTCTGATGAATACATATTCCAACTTTCATTGAGCTGCGTTCATTAATTTGGGAGATATTCCTTGATCACTGAATTGGCTGTGAGACCGGCTGCGAGACCGGCCACAAGTCCGGCCGTAAATTTGTCCAAGCCTTCTTGAATTTTTAGTGCTGAAACAGTTAAAACAGCTGAAAAACATATTGGTTTTTCTAATTGGGGTTCAATTTGTGAAATACACATTTGTGTTTAAGCTTTATCTTTAAAAATTGCAGCATACTAAATTTCAAGAAAGAGGTGTATCTTTTTATATGTATGTGTGTGGGGCACTAGAAATTCACTGGGGAGCCAAAGGGGGTGATTTAAATTTGATTTAAATATCTGAAGCTGGATTTCATTCCAAAAATTTAGCTGACATGTTAGATCTGGTGAGGTTGGATCAATCTAGAATTTGTGAACAAATATTCCTAGAATTCTATCCTAAAATGGATATTTTGTATTTGTGGCTTGGAGGCATTGAGACTGGTAAGAAATGTATAGATATTTTGTATTTGAGGCTCCGTGGCAGTTGAATCTAGTAGGGTTTATAAAGTGACATTTTCACAAGTTGGAGGCATTTGTGCCTGCCAGGATAAAGAATGGCAGTTTTATTCTGCGGCAGATGCCAAACACAAGCTCCAGCAACTGAAATGTATTTATTGCATTCAAATACCTGAATAAATTTCAGAACCTCTGAAATCTTGCTCTGAGTTTTATCAAATATCTATTAGGAATTAATCAAAATATAATGGATTTATTGGAGTGTATACCGGTAAAATTAGTGTACCAGCAAATCTTGATTATTTATAGGATACATTGTAAAATTTGCATTCATCTCTGATGAATGTTAAAGAAAGTTTTGCAGCCCTCAGTGGCTACTGCATCTTGTCTAGGGCTTTAAAATTATGATATAGATTGTGGCATTGAGAGCAATGTGGACTTGGTTTCTTAGTCTCATAATTAGGACTTAGACTTGGTACCATGGATACAAATTTTATCAAATGTGTAGTTGAATTATTGTAAATAGAATGGATAAAATTCATAAAAATAAGAAATTTTGAGACATTGTTTTACTATCTTAGTGTTGCAATCTCATTTTGCTGTGATCATTTCATAATGCATTTTGGGTATGACTGTATGAACCAACCTATCACTCTTGGCTATGTGAGGGGATTTAGATATGGTACTTTAATAGTTTTCTTCACTGTTGATAATTGAAAAAATTGGGGCTGTTCATGCTGTTTGGAATTTTCCTGTCTTGAGTTAACTGAATTGGTTTCAGCAGCTCAGTTTTTCTATCTTGGGAAATGGTCTTGAACCCTGGACTTGGTTTTATCTGATGCCTATTTATAAATTAAAATTGATTTTCTTTTGTGTATTGTATTATCTTCCATTTTATGACCCTTGTTTTTTTAAGTTGATTGTAATTCAAAAATAAAATTTTTCTTAGATAGGCGAGAATGGAAATGATCCATGTATAGAGCTACCTATGGAGAAATTGTGTTATATTACGTGTAGCAAATGCTAAAGTTCTCTAGTTTCATTAAAAAGTTCACGTTTCTCATTTTGATTTTTCAGAGTGAAAAGATTGCCAGCCTTCTGAAGGCTGCTAACGTGACAGTCGAGCCTTACTGGCCTGGCCTGTTTGCCAAGGCTACCGCTGGTCTTGATCTCAAGAGCCTCGTGACCAGCATTGGTGCTGGTGTCGGTACCGGAGGAGGTGGTGGTGGCGGTGCACCTGCTGCGTCTGCTGCTGCTCCTGCTGCTGGTGGGTGCCTACCGGTACTTCCTTGTTGAATATCAACAACGGAAAGTTGTCTCGGAGATTTTATTTAGAAGCAAGGTTTTGAGATAACTTGATTTGCAGTGAACGGTATGGAGGTCTGTCAAATGTTGCCTGTGATTTTTTTTTTTTTTTTCAGATAATAAAGTGAGCGAGAGTAATCTTTCTTTGAATAAGTTCTCTTCAGGGCTGTGCATTATTTTGTGATTATCTGAATTGATATATCATGGTCATTAATGCCCGTTGAACTTTTTTTTTTAACAAAACCTCATTCAATTGACGTACATGTTACATTTACGATTGAAAAATTTGTCGATTTCTACTGTATACGATGTTTACATTCCTTGTGTATTGATATTTTTGTAACTAACATTTTTATGAAATTTTGATAGATTTTGTTTACCTACAGCCCCAGTGGAAGAGAAGAAGAAGGAAGAGGAGCCTGAGGAAGAGTCCGACGACGACATGGGCATCGGCCTATTTGGTTAGATATTCCTCATCAGAGGAATGTCTTAACCTCAAATACAAATTTGAGGATTGACGCATTTTTCATTATCCTACCATTTTCATTTTAAATTCAACATCTAATAGATTTCTTAGTTGTTTCTTTAAATTGGTTACAAAGAATTTGCTTTCTGTTGATGCGTAATGTTCTCAATAGGTATGATGTTATTTTGACCCAGAGCTGTCTACAGGAGTCTATTAACTGCTGCCTGGAAGAAATGACTTTTGTAAGAAAACTTTTTACATGACCCAGGTATCTAGAATTTTTTTGAGTTTGCATCGAGTTGCTCCTACCACGAGGTGAGTGATGCGAAGTGAAAATCTAATAATTATACAGACATTGGAAAAAGTTACGTGTGAGATTCTTGTTCTTTAGAGTTATTTTGTTACTTGGAGAGGCTAAAAACCAATGAAAATTCGGAGTTCATAGCGCATCAGCTGCACTTTATGCATTTGGTTAATTCCTCATGAAATTTTAAACAGAAAGTGATATTGTTTGGATTTTTGAAACTTATGAAGGTGAATAAGTAATATTCACACATGTCGGAATATAGAATCATTTGATGACATTAAGTTCAATTTACATTTTCTTTTCAGCTCGTTCGTATCGGAGTTTTCTAATCGTATCTCCTGAGGAGCTGACGGCCCTTAATAATTTTCAAGGTGAGTGTTGTGATCTGACTTTCCTTGCTATGCTTCCACTATATGATGAATAACGTGTTTCGACTGATATCTCTGATAAAATAGAACATTACTGATCATTAAACGTAATCACTAAGATCAACAGTCTTTATGCTCAATGTCTAATATTTACTCCGAATGTTGCAGCAAGGTGACAGGGCGCGGGGCTCTGCAAAATCCTGGCAAGGTAGTAATGATAATTCCCCCCTGAAGCACATTACCTGAGCTACGTGTGTAATTCACCGGACATGTGAGTAATTTTTTGTTGATTGTTGGTGGGAATGTTTCTCAATTTTCTTTCTAAATCTTGACCTAGAAATAATTATTAAAAATGATGACATTCATAGTTGCTATGCACCACTCAGAGTGCCCTGAAGAGAAGTCAACTTCTGATTGCCTTAACATTTCTATTAATCTTTCTGCTGCTTTGATTTTGTACTAAATTTATGCCTCCGTATTTCAGGCCACTTTTATGTTTGCCATTGCAAATACCATGGGCGTCGTACGATGCGCTCGACTTGCGTGACTGGAATGCCGCTTCCTGTACGTGGAGGTATGAATAAATAACTTTGATATCCACCTTACTGTAGTAATAAATGCTGCGATTAGTTTCATTTGTTGAATATCTTGAAGATCATGATTGAATATCACAAATAGTCTAAGGTATATTTGATTGTTTCATGAGAACTTATATGGAGCAATATGTTGGATAATGACGATTTTTCGTGTTTCGACTGATATCTCTGATAACAACTCGGTTCACTGAAAAGTAAAGAAGTCTGGTTTCTCGTGAGACTTTATGCGCATAGCCTGAAAATTCTTGTTTCATTTTCAGTTTTAACTGCTTGGGTCTGAACGAGCAATGCGGACCTGCTATCACAAAATCAAGGTATGTTACTGACCATTTAGAGCCGTTCTTCTTTGATAACTCATGTCGTCTGTAATAATTTCTGCTCTAATTAGTAAATGACATTAATGCAATCGAATCGTGCATTTACACAATCCAAGATTATTACACTAAGTGTGAGAATTACATCCTTGAGCTGCAATATAATGTGTATATATAGCTTAGGTTAACAGCTTTATAAACTGAGATGTTCAGTTGTGCTCAATGTGTTTTGCTTAGTATGATGAGTAAACTATACCTGCGCTTCGTATGATAAAGGTTGATTATACCCCAAAATATGATCTGATTTATCTTCCTTTCATAACAGTACAAGTCACGAGAAAAATTTTCTCATCAAAATTTATTATTTCAGGAAGAAAAGTGCTCAGATGAATCAGCTGCATCAGGACTGGAAGTTCTCCTTTCTTGAGAGTAAGTTTCTTTTGTTGTTTTTTCTCAATGAGCAGTAAATTTTAATCCTATCATTTATATGTTATGCATCACTTAGTGTTCAGAGGAGTAATCCTGATAGCCTTCTATTGCTTATCCTTTTATTCTCTGCTTGTGATTTTATATGCAGGTTCTACGTTTTTTTTTCAGGTCATTTCCTTGTCTCTCGGTAGTCCTATCCTCGTCGCCAATGCGCTCGAATGTTGTGGCTGGGATGCTGCTTCTACTTCGAGCAGGTGTGAATTAATTGCTTTGGTATCCCCTTGCTCCTGGTGATCGGTGAACCATATGGTCCAGACTAGTTACTTGTTGATCTTGAATTCTTTACACTGATTTATTGGCCTCTAAGGGCTATTTGATTGCTTTTAAATGTCATATTAGTTGGAAGTATTTAGATTATTTGATGATGACCACGTGTTTCGTTTGATATCTCTGATAAAAAATTGTTTCACTGACAAGTACACGAGTTTTTTCATCGTGAAGCACCGAGGGCATGTTCTTAACTTGTTTGTTTTGTTTCAGCGCTGGCTGCTTGTTGCTGTATTTATATTCTGAAGACCTGTCATTACTATAGGTATGTATCGAGCGTGTATCTTCTACATCTATTCTTAGATTACGCAAGTCGTGCCAACTAACTTTAGTTCGCATTATTTGATCACATTTACGCAATCGTGTTGTGCATTCACGTAATCGATGGCTATGTATTTACATAGCATAAAAATTACGGTCTTGATTCTCAATATCTTAGCTCAAGTTTAAAAATAACTTCATAAAATGTGTGATTGCGCTGTTGCTTTTTGTGTGTTTATTATGATAACTAAACTAGCGTTTGGTATGATAAAGGTTGATTATATCCCAAGAATTATCTGATAGGTGTAGTTTTTTGTGAGTGAAAGCTGCACGAATTCTTATGTTTCATTTCAGGAACACACCAAGAGCTCCTGTATTCGCTGCATCATGAAGCTCCACTCTCTTTATGGTGAGTGTCGTTATTTTCTCTTGATGCGCAGTTGATGATCAATCATAGATGCTGTGTGATGATTTATTTTAGTTGCCTTGCACCACTCAGAGTGCCCTGAAGAGAAATCAACTTCTGAAAGCTGTATATTAGCTGTAAATATTCGTGCCATTGCGAACATTTTGTCCTAACTCACTACCTTTGTATTCCAGGCCACATTGCTCGTGTCCATCGGGAGTCACTGGGGGCGTGGGTGCACTCGAATTGTGTGGTTGAGATGGCGCTCCTGCTTACGTGAGGTCTGTTTTTGCCGAGTCTGTTACTTGCTTTGTTACTTGAGCTTAGTTGTTTGATCCGTTAACAAATCTTGCTATAGATCTCTTTTTAGAGAGAGAAATCTCGATTTGGGCGAAAGTAATCTTCACAGTGAATATTACATCTTGTTGATGAAATGCCATGTTCATATTTCAAAGTACATTTATGACCTTGAGGACTAAGGGACAAAATCTGATGAATTTATTTACACATGCTATACCATGAACCTAATGAAATCCTCCTAAAATCTGATATGCTTATCACCTGTAGATATAATCTAGAATGGCCGAGGTAAGCGTTTAATTTTTGCCATTTCTGTACACAACAGGTATCATCTGACGGTTACTGGCGGCCTACTAATTTGGTGAGTTTATTTTCGCATTAGACTTGGATCAGTGTTTTTGCAGTGAAACATTTTTACTGATGATTTTTAACCCGCGCTTCGTATGACACATAATGATTTTGCTTTATTATTTAACTGATGAAGGGTTGAAATTTGTTGCTATATTTTGTTGTGAACGACGTTATAATCTCGTATTATGCAGGCGCATCTGCGCGTAATGGTCGACGCTTCATGCGATGGCGTGGAAAGATCACGAGTTTTCGTGAAGCAACAAACTGGAGTCTGGATGGAACCAAAAAAATCCAAATCTCAGTCCGCGTGTCGTGCGTCGAATCGTCATCATTACCGGAACATCATTCAGGTAATGGATTACTATGTTTTACTTGAATGTTTGGCGAACATTTCGATGATGAACAAAAACACATGCTATACAATGACAGTAATGATTCTATATTTTCAACTTCCTGATGCTCTTTAATAGTATCTCTGAAATTGAACTAGAGTTCTGTTCTCACGGTTTCTTGGTTAAATCAACAGGAATTGAACGAGGAGTACCCTCCCCTGGGCTACAGTTGCCGCTTCTCGTAACGGAGGTGAGCTAAGCAATGGTTGGATGTTTGAGTATGTTAAATGAACTATGCGTTACATTATCAAGACCTGTTTTCCCTGCTTGGAGATATACATGTCGTGTCGAAATTGCGGAATTGCCGATTCTATGGAATCGGCAACCAGTTTGCCGAATCAGCTTTTCGTTGCTGATTGAGAAAATCGGAAGTTAGAGTTATAGTATAGAAATGCTAATTTTACAGATTGAGCAAACTGGCTACCGATTCCATAGAATCGGCAATTCCGCCATTTCGACCCGACATATTCACACTTACAATAATCGGGTTGATGCCCTGGTGCAATCTAGACATTTCAACTGAAATTGTCTGCACAAGAAGTACCAGACTTCTTTAATGTTAAAATGATGACCTTTTCATGCATCACCGGCTGACAGCCATGCTGAAGAAACACTCTCAAATAGTTGATAGTTTTACTGAACCTAACTGCAATGTTTAGGTAGTAGACAGCATTTCTCCTGTTCTTATGTGGTTATTTCATTTCAGAACTCGCCATGTACATGCCTGCCTGCAACCAAGTTTTTCTCGTCTGAGGATACAGGTGAGGTTCTGGAATCAGCGCCGAGTTCTAAAGTCAGGTGAAAATTAATTCTACCGTTATCGTTTTTCGGTTTTGCTCGCATCTACACCAGTTTATTGTCTTCTGTTGAGTAATTGCCAAAATTATAAAGTATCATTAGTAAAATAAAGGTGCATCATCTCCAGCAATATCGAAGGTTTTGAATCGTGATATTGATAGTATAACGCGAATATTCTCATGAGCTTCATATGATGACAACCTTATGCACCACCGGCTGACTGCCGTGCTGATATTCTAATAGCCATGACTGATCGCACTTCATTCCCTGAATTTTATGTTTCTGCTGTAACGAGTTTACAGGGATATTTTTTTTGGCAGATCGCTCGAGGAATGATACTGCGGGCCACATTGTGATCTGAAATATTAAGGTAAATTGTTTAAGTTTGACATATAAGTTTGGTTTGATATGCACTTACTCGTTTTTATGCATCCAAGACGCTTTCTGTGCCCTCCAGACATAACTGCAATGATATTTAGGCGAGGAAAATTCGCTATATATGTATGTGCCAAGAGTTTTTTTTTTTTGCGGAATTGGTTTCTTTCGAACTCCTGCAGATAAAAATTTGCCTGATGATAATTTCGACGGGCGGACTGATATCTATTGATGATTCGTCGACGCTGATCTGTTGACTTGTAATTTATCTTGCTCATTATCTTTTTCTTGATGATCTTAACTATCTTGTTATTGCAGGCATGGGCAAGTTAGGCGGGCTGGACAATCAACCTCCTTGCCGACCTTTCGGCGGCCCGAACGCGGCGTGCACCAACACTTTGTTCGTGGTGTCTGAATCCTGCAAAGGTTTAGAATAAATTGGTGTATTTTTTTGCCGTGTTTTGAAAATTGTCCAAGCGTTTGATTTTTTTTTTCAAGAATTCAATACCTTGATGTAAGACTTGAGCATTAACGACTAGTATCTTTAGTAGCCGGCTAGTATCTTTAGTAGCCGGAAACGAAAAAAGTTCTTGTACATTGGGAAACTGCTCTTAGATGGTGGAACTTACAAATGCTACTTGCAATTATGCCATTGGCTTCATTTGAATGGTAATGTGATAGGGTTCTAATTTGGCTAATTTTGAAGTTTCTATTTATGGTACGCGTTGGATAAACTACGGCCAAGCTCTGAGTTCATGACGTATTCTGGTAAAAGGAGAGGCAATCAATCGTTATGATCATTTCACGTGAAAAATATTTGCATAAAATTGGGAGTTAATATCGACAGAGACGAAATTTTCTAAGCATATTGAAGGTCAAGTTAATGAAACCAATAAACGACTTGGCCTGATCAGACGCTCTTGCGAGTTCCTAGATGCAGAAGCGATGAAGCAGTTGTCTGTTGTAGACGTGCGCCCGAACCTAGAGTTAGGAAACGTGGTCACCGAAACTTGAAAAGGGCAAAAAATTTAGGTGTTCCAAAGACGCGCAACAATGATAGTTTCGGTCTTGAAATACAAGTCCTATGAGGAAAGATTATGAAGCTTCCAAGCCTCAGTTATCGACGTCTGCGTGGGGAACTCGTTGAAGTATACTAGTGGCTTATACAAGGTCCCAGAATGATTACTAGAATTTGAAACAAGAACCAACACCAGTGGCCGCGGCTATAGACAAAAAAAACTGGGTTGTAACACATCCATGCGACAACATTTCTTCTCGCTTCGAGTCACCGACATGTGGAACAGCCTCCCTGATAGCATAGTTGACGCTCCGAGTATGAACGCCTTCAAAAACAGACTAGACAATGCTATGCAGGAGCATATGTTCAGTCTTGAAATGCCTAGCAAATTACGGACCAGGCATCTTAGAAATCATTCAAAAAAATGTTGACGCTCCGAGTATGAACGCCTTCAAAAACAGACTAGACAATGCTATGCAGGAGCATATGTTCAGTCTTGAAATGCCTAGCAAATTACGGACCAGGCAGTAAGTCCAGCAGCTATCTCAATCATTCGTCAGTTATGGAAACATCGGGTTCCAAAGGACAGATCCCTTGTGAATCAAGTCAAGAAAAGTTCAAGAATCTGCAACAGGCCATGAGCCTATTCAATGCCGACATTTCTATAAGTCGATATTGCGGCATTCGAAAGTTCGCGGGATAGCAATTTTAGTTTTTTTAGAATTCATGCTATACTTTGCATTATGCTGAACCCTTTTTTTTTAATAAAACGTATAAAAGAACAGATAAATGAAGCGCACACCCGAATGTACATAATACTATTGCATTTTTTTAGTGCATGGCAGAAGTTGTAAGAATACGGCTGTAGTATTGACGGTGGCTTATTTCAGCTTGTGTAAACCAATTAGAAGTGGTGACTTTGCAATTACACTTTTTCTTTTTAAATCGATGTCAGTTTCATATTTTGATTATTTTTTTTGCACTAGTAGAAAAAATATGTAGGCATTTATATTGATAAACGATTCCGGTTTTTAAATGCGGATTTTTCCACTGATACAAGTCGGACATGAATTAACATTTAATGTTGAACATTTTCAGCCCCTAGGAAATTTTACCAACTATGTCAAATGAGCAGTCAATAAAGTCATTTTTATGATGGCTACGATATCATTTTGATGATTTTAAAACGATTATCTTAAGTTTTCTGTTGGACTTCAATTATCTTCGTACCATAATTTAGCAGAATGAACACGATAAGAACCGAAAAAATTAGCACGCAATATTTCAAGCAGAGAAGTAAAACTTATACGTGGACACAGCGCTTTAAAGAATCCTGGAGAAAACTTTTTCGTAAGTTGATATTTAATTATTAACTCTGACAAATTATTTTGTAGAATAATTCGAATATTGATACAATAGTAATAATGACAAAAATACAGCATGAATTTATTATGGATAAAGAAAAACATTTCTATAATTATAAAATTGGAAAATTCTGAGTTTCTATTGAAATCTTGTGAACCTAGACAAAATTGACATATTTTTTTTATCACTTTAGGTTATCACTGCTTGATTCAGTTGATTGTAGGTACATTTTTGTAAACAATTAGAATTTAGAAACAAGATTCATCTACCTATTTGCCTATCTCAATCTGGAAACTGGAATACCTAGGCTAGCTAATCATCTGCTAATGGAAATGGGCAGAGTTTTCAAAAAAATTTCATTTTAAAACTATTGTAGTGTTGAGTGTTGACAATTGAACACTTTTATAGAAATAGGCAATGGGCCTATTTCTTCAGTGCCGACGCTTCTATTCTATTCCATTCTAACTGAAAACTTTCAAAAACTATGATTAATAAATGCATTAATATCTTATTTATCATTGAACAAATTAGTGTGGCCAAAGCCAATTTTAAATATTTGGCAAAATTTGCCCAAAATCTTGTGGGCAAATATGTAACCACTGGGCAGGGTGGCCCAGTGGTTACAGTTCAGAGTATCAAAATTGGCTCAGAGAGACGCGGGTTTGATCCCAGCTCTGTGCGCCAGTTTCTGGTCAGAATCGGCGAGGAGGCCGGGTGGTTAAGCATAGCAGAATTGTAGCAGTGAGTTGCGAGTTCGAGACCGCAATGAGCTGTGAATGTTCTGCGATGTTAAGAATCGGCAACAGCCAACAGGCCTACGGCCTAATAACGCTGAAACCGCTATTATTTATATTATTTGTGCAATATTATCAAATTTTCAAGCTGTATCTGATTTCCTTAACCACTAGGTTATTAATTTTCCAGGTAAAAAAATGTTTAACTATGAATTAATTTTCATGCTGTTAATTTTTCTCAAGCCAATTAAAACTATTGTAATAATCTTACCACTGCACCACCACAGCGGTGTCATAATAATAGTGGTTTCATTATTTTGTAGGCAATAGGCCGATTGCTGATTCTTAACATTGCAAAACATTCACAGTATTTTGCAGTTTCGAATTTGCAACTGGCTGCTACAATTCTGCTGTGCTTAACCACCTGGCCTCCTTGCCAATTCTGACCAGTAGCATAGAGTTGGGATCAAATCTGTGCCTCTCTGCGCCAATCATGGTGCCCTGAACTGTAACCACTGAGCCTCCCTGCCATTGGAACTTTGAACTTATTTCTGAAGTCAGAGGTTCTATGTATATATAATGTTTATTGACTAAAATATGCACTAATTGTGAAGATGTCTAAGAAAGACTGCAACAACTTAACAAGCAAATCCATTTGCTGATAATGTAGAATTTTTGTTATGTATATACATGAAAAATTAATAGCTTCATTAACATGTTTTTCTTAGCTTAGCTTCACGTTTGTTTGTTTGTTTGTTTGTTGTTAACATTGACAACGAAAATTAGCTCACTTCTGATTGCTCTAGAGATCTGAAATTTGGCATGCAGGCTATTTTCGACTAACAATTTCAGATACAATCATAAAAACTAGCAATTAGAGACCTAAATTAGCTTAATTGAGTAAAGTATATATATAGTATATATACACTATGGCGTGCGGGCGCCCACGTTATAGACGAGCAGGCGCTAACGCTGCGTATCAATATGTACGTCAAGTTATACTTAATCAAATCTTAATCGTTTTTCTTGTGGACTAAAAAGTAGAAAATAAAATACTTTAAAAAAAAACTTTAAAAAAAAACACGTTTTTCTTGTGGACTGAAAAGTAAAAAATAAATTATGGCTCGCCCCAAAAAACGTGGGTTGGGCTGTACATGCACCATCAAATTTCCAAAATTCGTTTGTTGTGTTCTTTTCGTTTTAATCATAAATCTGCCCGACACACGTTTTTTGGGGCAAGCCATAATTAATTTTTTACTTTTCAGTCCACAAGAAAAACGTGTTTTTTTAAAAAAGTTTTTTTTAAAGTATTTTATTTTTTTAAAGTGTTTATAAGGTTAAAACATTAGGTATGGGAAGGGGATTAATATCAACTTTGATCTTTATTTCTCAATTTGTCATATTAGTAGTTGGCTAACTTGGCTGTAATTGATTCTGAAACATTAGAAGGAAAGAAAACCATTGTTATAATTTATTATAGCATTGAAAATATTAGCTCTGGAATAAATAATTTCCGGTTTTTATTATATGATTACCATATTTTTATGGAATTGTTTTTATTAAGAAATTCAATTAAGTTCCAACAGGTGCTAATCCTTAGGGTTCTGTGTATGCATACAGAACCCTATGTGTATGCATACAGCTCAATCACCGTGCCATGTGCATCAGGGTAATCGTTGTTTTGACACTATTCTTCTATTATTTTTGTGACTGAATACATTTTTATAGAATGCAGCATAATTTTTGAATTACGATAGGTTAATATACTTAGAGATTTTGATGTTAGTGTGCCTAAAATGTTGACACATAATACACTTCAAGTTCACTTGAGTTAAAAGCCTATAGATTTGACATTATATAAGCATTTCTCATCTAGCAAAACATCTAGCATTTTTCCAAGTAAATGAAGAAATTTGTGATTGCTGGTATTATGAACTAAGCCAATGTAAGTGAGAACTTATTATTTTAAAAAATACCTAGTATTGATTATGCTATCATTGGAAAGCATACTGAATTAGGCATTTTATTGAGTTTTTTATGCCACTATATGAGTGTCATTAAGTGCAACTTCTGATTTCAGCTTGGGTGGAACCAGCAAGTGATGGCAGCAACTTTGTTCAGTGCCTGGTGTGCAACAAGCGGCTGCGCTGTAAGAAGGATGACATCTTCAAGCACAGTAAAGGACAGAAACACAAGCTGAACCTGCAGAAGGCTTCTCCAAATAACTTGGAAAGCATTACGTTATATACTAGTCCAGGGACTGAAGGTAAATTGCTGATATACAGCTCATTTTCTGCAAATGTAATTCAAGCAATTTACTCTGCATGTGATGTTCAATGTTTGTTTAATGTTCAATGTTTTAATATGTGCTGAATTGAGACTTGAAGTTGAGGCATCAAATTCTTGCTAATCTTATTATAAACATTCATTAGGTACATGCAATTTTTTTCCTAGATTATTGTTATATTAATCTTCATTTCAAAATTATTGCATATGTTAACTTTATTTTTCTGCATAAAGAATCAATGTTAGATTATAGCATCTGGCGTTGTCATATTATTTCCTTCATTGTCATTGCCCAAGTCTATGAAAGGTTATAGACACCTTCAGCTATTTCCTTTGCATGGGTGAAGAAATGTTATACATGTAACTTTTTGTGTGTAGTACTCCTGCCCTCCAATGATTATCTTGAAGAGTTTCTTCAAAGTGTGCTTCTTTATCTGCCTATAAAATGAATTGGGATGTTTCTTATTTTTCCTCTCCTCAAAAAACAATCCCTAAAGTTATTCAACACGGAAGGTTCTACCATGTGTTTTATATTTTCAGATGATAATTGTGATGAGATAAAAGTGGAGCAGCAGTTACATGTTGATCCATGCCCAAAGATTTCTTCCAACAGACTGTAAGTGCAATTCAAGCTTTCTTCACCTGTTATGCTAAATTATATAAAAACTTGATTATGAATGTCTTTAGCTTAAGTAATCAAAGACCTATGTTTGCCTGCCAGTTATTTATAGAATTTTGTAATGCAAAATCCAGACTACAGTGGTTGCAAACGTATGATAATTGGAAATGATTATTATTATTTTTGTTGTATTTTTTTGTAGATATATATATAGCTATGTAAAATATACAGCAATAATATCTGCATATTTTAGCATATCATTTTGCCATGTTTTGTTATTGACCATTAACTTCAGCAAAAGTTTCTGTTTATATCACTAGTCTGTAACCGTATTGATTTCATTTGGTAAATTTCCTATGGCTCCTGTATTCATACCTTTTATGAATTTAATGGTATGATCCAAATTTATAGTGCTGAAAATTCGAGAAAATTTATGTTTGTTGCTTCTCTGTTTTTTTTAATAAGTTTTGAAATAAAACATTGTGGTTTAGTGACAAATGCTGCCTGTTAGGTTGAAAGCTTACAAGTCTTGATTCATAGTACCTACTGAGGGCTGGGCATCTGAAGAAACGTGTTTATTCAATTTTATATTCATATAGGTATTTATGTTTACTGGAGATATTTAAGTTCCAATAAATAGGTAAATAGAGATAATTATATTCTTTTTCTAATATATGCTTTTGTGTTGAGATCATAATTACTTTAACACATTTTGCTAGCAATCATGTCATGTATATATACTTACATAGTATAAGCTTGCTATTATACCCATGTGATTTTTTGCAGCTTCTGTATATATATATATATATATATACATGTTAATGGGTGATATGTATTGATAAGCTCACATGGATTTGTCTACATAAATGATTTATAAAATTTGTTTTCAGGGTTATGTGTGGTGTTGACATCCAGCCTGAGGTGCAAGGGGCTATAGAAGCTCTCACACATAAGATGACTACACTCAGCGCTGAGCTTGCCGAAATCACTGACCCAATCAGTGTCGAGAAGTGCTCCCACTCACTCAGTCAAGTCATCAATATTCTTGCAAGGCTTAAAAAATTATAGTCCTTTCTTTATTTTCATTCATAGAGCTTGAAGCTGTTTTACCTAACTCGTACTATTTGAATGTAAAATGTTTACAGATTTTTATTATGCCCAGTAAAGTGTCTCAGTATCAAACCTAGTTTCTTTTCCAGAGAAATTGTTGTATTTGTCTGGAAAATGTTTTTTTGAGGCATTCTATGTTATGGTTTCCCTAGCAATAATTATTATTTAATGCATAGGATATTCTAATCAATTATTTGGAAACGTTTCATAATTAATTTGAAATTTCCTGATGTACCGTATGTGGTACATTTTCCTGATCATGTTATATTTTTTTTGCATCTCAACATTTTATTTTTACACTTTTATTGAATTTTAAAATTTTTTTATCGGTTATGAGGAGAATTATTCATATAAATGAGAGTATTTGGATTTTTTGGTGAAATAAACCGTTAAGTGCATGGGTTTGCGTTTGTAAGTACTTGGTTTGCAATAGAGTTTTCCTGTATCAAAATGGGAATGTTAGTACAAAACAAATTTTGACTTATCAACTTCAGATTACTGAATTCATTTCTATATGAACCAAAACCCTCGTGCTTGAGAAATAGCCAGGAATGTTAAAGAATTCCCCCACTCCCAACCCAAAGTTCTGCTCTACCGTCAATGCCACACCGTCGCCACTCTGCAGAAACTGCACGATGCACGTAACGCGCTGTTCGTCACGAAAAACCGTGTAATACTGGTCAGAAAAATTATTCGTTGGGTTTTATCACCACATCAATAGTAAAATACTATTAATAAATAGTATACGCGATAATAAAATAATATTAATAAATAAATACGCAACCTAAATAGTAAAATACTATTTAGGTTGCCCTAGAAAGAGGTGGTTCAGTTTTGTGTAAGAAATAGATCGTTTCTGTTGAATCTTGGCAACTTTAGTGCTGTTGGCGAGGTTTTCGGCATTGGCGGTAGGACTTACAAACTCTGAGAAATCTAAGCTATAGAGTTTCAATCTGCAGGTCAGAGTTACTTAGTGGAAATAAACAGGAGGCCAATTCAGAGTTCCTTTCCTTATGATATTACGGTTAAAATTTCTTCGGTTATTGCAATGTAGATCTGCGGATATTAGCACTGAAAGTGAAACATTTTTTTACCTTACCCTATTTCTTGTTTGGAGATTGTGTCAGCCTTCACCCTCTACCGCCGTATCACGTATGTCACTCTTCGGGAACATTACTTTCAAATAAATTATACGTGAACTATTGAGTGAAGCAACCTGAAGACGTTTGTACGCGACAGAGATCATTTTAAAGTTGTCGTACGTGGCGGCGACCATCAGTGCAAGTAATGTTGCGATCACTAAAAACGTATCCTTTTTGGCAAGTAGGCTTGTGACAATATTGCTCCGGTAACTCATGTCAGGTGGTAGAGTGTTAACTCGAGCACTTACCACTAGAAGGCTTGCGAGACTTCCATAACCAGAGCTATTATTCGAGAGGTTAGTAAAGAATATACATCTTGCAGTAACACTCAAGTCTTCTAATACAGAGCAAATATATTCTGACTGACTGGCACTGATTCTGTTCCTATAATCTTGGGTCGAATCACATCGTCTGCTCGTTATATTTTTGTGAAATGCGTTAAATAAATCTTCTCTGGATCAGAACTTCGATGGCAGTTCAACAGGTTGACCCAAACGAAACCGTAGTAAACGACATCATTTCCTCTATTTTATTAACCCTTTATTTTTAGTCTTTGTTGTTTGAGTCTTGACTAATGGCGCTGTAAATCAAATATTTTGTTTCAAATTATGAAATTTGTTGTGAGGTAAAAAATAAATTATAAATTCCCAATCTGCATTTGCGTTACCTTGGTTTTGATATAATCACATAATTTTTTGCCAACGACAATACAGGCCCGATACCCCCCCGTGCCATCTCGTCCTTGTCGTGGGGGGGGGCTTGCGTGTCTCGATGAGACCCGAGGCTGTACGGCCTCAGATGCAATCATGGCCGGGTGGCTCGGGTGGAGAGTCCAGACTAACAGAGATGGCAAAACGCCCTTTTCGGAAACGGCCTGGCTCTCAAATGGACACGCGATGACCCTTCCTTGGATTGGCGAACCCTGGCGGGGACTTAGACCCGACCCGCCAGCTTTAATAGTAACTAACGGCGAGGGTTAGCCGAGGGACTCCTGGGCAGGCGGGGGGCTGTTTAAACGCCGCGCGGATGGAGTGGCGCCCGTCTTGCAACGCTAGTCAAGCGCATAACCCGCTGGGCCCTGGATAACCGAGGCTATATCCGAGCGTAAGAGTTCGCCCAGCCCCTGCGCCTAAAATGGATCAGGCTATAAGCCTTGAAGACGGAAGAGACCAAACATCTTTGACGTAGCTGAAGACCTCACCTCCGGCGCGAAATAGATTGCTATCTGAAGCGCTAGTAAATCTTTTACTACTACTACTACTACAGGCCCGATAATTTATTGCTTTATATTCAACATTTTTCAAAGCGGCAACGATGAAGTAAATTCTATGGGCTTGCCTCTCCGTGAAAGATTCTGTGGATACTAAGTGTGACCGACAGGGAAGTAGAATAGTTTACTGGCGCTTCAGCTGCTAGGTACTACTTTGCACCGACACCGAAAATCGAGAAAAACCACCCCAGCGAAGCGAGAAAAACCACCCAGCAAGAAAAGAGTCAACGTTAGCAACTCAAAAAGAGTCTAATTAACGGTGCCTGTACACGGGGACAGTACTTGCGGCAAGTAGATCTGACAAATGCCAAATGTTTGCCGCTTGATGTCTATCCCGCAAGTTATGCTTCGAAACGAGGATAGTTTAAAGGTGCCGCCGTGCCGGTAAGACTAAGTGACAATCGAGGGATAGAAGAAATGCTACACAAGCGACGACACTCGTACAAGAGGTCATGTGCCAATTTCTCCTCTTATTCACTAGAATTAATGCTTCAGAAAACAATTAAATTTACGTGTATGTTCCATTTAGTATTGATACTGACGACTGTAAGTTTGTACGCCTTAAGGTGAGCATAGTTTAGTTCGCCATGCAATCGCATTTTAATACAATAAGTTTCATTGTGGTGTTCAGTAGTCAGGGATTTATGTTCAAAATGGTTTAATAATGTAGGAAGAAGGTATTGATAACTATCGAGTTTCTAACATTCATTAGTTTTGATAACCCGTTACTGTCAATGGGACGGTAGGGTTGTACCTATCATCGAAGCACGTGGCGCTTCAGCGTGGAAAGTGACGGCTGATAATAGTTCATAATAATGAGTATAGGAAACTGATTTTAATTATTAGAAATACTGTTAGTAGACTTGTTTGCTTTCCCGTTGTACCCGAACTCATTTACAACACTGAATTTGTGGCAATGAATGGACGATTCATTCAACGATTGTGGAATATGTCAAAAATAGTTTTGCAGAACGGTTCAGAGTCAACATATCTTAGGGACCAAATTCATCTTTTCATAAACCACAGGAACAGTGTCCTTATGGACGCTATTTTTGTACTGTGAGTCCTAGGTAGATATATGAGCGATGAATGCTACAATGCATGTGGACAATTGGTTAATTTATATGCAGGTTGGTTGTCAGACTAATGATTTACACGGCACAAGAGAAAGTATAAGTATATGAAAAAGTTGATTTCGTATAAGTATAATGCTGACTTGCAAAAAAAACAACAAACTTTCTGAGCATATGATTCAACAACAGGTACGAAATTTGAAACTTGCAGGCGCTACCAAACTACACCTGCTGAGCTCACATGCTTCATGTCGGCAATTCTGTTTTAATGCCACATAGCGTTCTTATTAAACAAAATAGCTGGCATGTTAGGTGTCAATTCTTCACTATAATTAATGTCACTATAATTAATGCTTCAATACATAAAAATATTTATTATATTTAGTTTTGTTTATGACTATAACCGATAACCAAGAAGTTTGCTTAGAATTGAGAATAGTTTAGTTTGGCATGCAATCGTTTTCTGATACAATGAGTTCCTTTAACCGCATTGTTCAGTAGTCTTGGGTTTGTTTCGAATTTCTCTCCAAAGTTAGGACGGATTAAAAAAGCTGTTATTCTACTATGTTGGAAAACCGTAGTCTCAAGACAGTCGTGGGACTGATAAATCCTGAATTCGTGGTCGTACGTGATGGAACGATGACTGGCGTGGCAATAGATGATGGATATCTGTAAAGAGAGCAGGAAATTTATTAATTAGAAATGCTGATACTTTTACCAACGTCTATAGTTTCTCGGTATACTTGAACTCACTTGCGACCTTGAATCGTATTTAAATAGTTTAGGGAGAACGATTCAAAGAGTCCCCAAGATTCTTTATCATACACCGCAATGCTTTGAATTCAGCTCAACCAAGACGAATAAGAATTTTTTCTGAAAGATTTAATTCTTTATGAGTTAGTTAGATTGCCAAATAGTATACTACCGCTTCAACAATTTCGCTATCTCGCACCGAAAGTCATGAATAAACACCACTAACATGAAGGAATATCTCTCAAATCAGAATCGTTCATCACTCAAGCACAGACGTCAGAAGTTCCCCCTAAGGGAGATAGACAACAGATTATCCAGTTCACTAAAAGGTCAATATATATTGGTTGTCATGTAGTCATTTTTTATTTATTAGCCATTACATTGAACTAAAAGTGAAATTTTTTGTAATTATAATGATCGAGCGGTCAAAAATTTTAGAACGGCAATTAAGTTTTCAAGAGACCTGATATACTCTTTCCTATATACAATTCTCGATTACTGTCCAGGTTTTATGCTTTGAGGTATTGAACGTCACTGTTTTAAGAACAGGGCTGTTCACGTGCAGGGATAACTCGTCGGAGTTAGGTCCGTGTTCATGGTTTTGTCGAGGGAGAGGAACAGTGCTGGAGGTTCTTAAGCCGTTATCATCAAGAGCATCGACAAAACTCGTCAGAAGCGGTAATTTTTCTACTCGTACGATAGTTCATTTGAATACGATACGACATCATTTGAATACTCGTACGATAGTTCATTTAATTTCACATATTTTTGGACGTTTTAACCCATTTTTCAAAGTTCTTCGGCCCCCTTATGATAATAACTACTTGGCTCAAC